AAGCAGGAAAAACTCCCGATTTTTGTTGAAGCAAGTAAGTTACACAGTAGTGAGTGTATTGATCAACAAATAAAACGAAGTAATTCTGATTATTCAGAATAGTTGGAGGACTAATTGGTCCAGACACATCTGAATGTACTATAAATAACGCTCTATTGACGTGACTTTTATCTTTTATCTTGTGAAATGGTAACCTTGCTTGCTTACCTTTAATACAAGCTTCACAAAAATGTTCACTCACTGCAACATTTTTGATCCTGTCAATATCATCAAACATGTTATGTCTTTTCAACTCTAAAAATTTTCCCTTGCCAATATGTCCTAAGCGTTCATGCCACAGTTTATAAGTAGTATTGCCCATCGCACTATAAACTTGCATGTTTGCATTCTGGGAATTAATCAAAAATGTAATCGAAAATAAATTATGAAAGGGCTTACCCTTGAAAAACACTGTACTTCCCTTTGTAATTTGTACGCCCTTTTGATCGAAGGTGACCGTGAATCCAGCTTCCTGGATTTTCTTCACGGACAATAAATTATGAGGAACTTCAGGGCGCCCATAACCTAAAGGCTAAAGGTAAAAGCTAAAGGTGGTATGGAAAGAAATAACACTCGGAGGACGCTTTTAGATCACCTTTATGGGCAAGGTATCATACCGAACTGAAAACTGAGAAATGAAAAACTGGAGGAATCAAAACTTTACAAAACAGCTGACGCTTTTCGCCAACATTATCGTGATGCAGGAAGCAGGAATTCTCTCTCCAAAGCTCAGGCCTTTTTCTGCGGACATTTTCGCTTAATCGTCTCGGAACACCATTGTAATATTCGCGATTGACAGTTTCACCTTGAAGGAATTGCGATCATTCAAACCTGAGGATTTCCAACAGTGTTTCTCCCAATTGAAGAAACAGTGGCAAAAATGCATCGACAAAGCTAGTATTTTGAAGGGGATAGGTGATGACTTGGTAAGCTGCTTAAAATGTTAATTTCCTTATTTTTAAGCATTTGAATGAGAGCAACGAAGTTTTTAACTTAAAACCTGGGTTTTTTTAAGTTGTATCTAAATTTTTCTTGAAATAAAGACAAAAATCGCAACTCGAGTTTGACTTTCCTGAATTCCAAAGCGTGTAGTTTCCTTACCAAGACGAATTTTTGCATTCTGTAAAAACCAGTATCTCCAGTAGCTTATCAGCTTTCAAACAAGCTCAAGAAAACTTCATTACGACCCTCGGTTCGCCCTCTATGACAAAAGTCCGGTTTCTTTTGGGACAGCCCTCGTACATCCTTAGAAAGAGCATAAAAAAAGAAAATTTTTGGCGCAAACCGGAAGTCGATCCGACCCTCTCCCCCCATCAAAAGTTAGGGGGGTCCAAAGGTTATTTAGGTTTTCATTTTAAAATGAAGCAAATTAATGAGTTTAAGACTGATGACTCCCGACACTTTGATGCTACTTTGATCGGAACTGGTTCGGGAATTTGATCGTCAATGGAGGGCTTATGGATCTCGATGATTCGGCCCTCCAATACATAAATCGCTGAGCGGGCCATACATGCCGCCGTAAAATTGATGTTGTACGAAAAATAATAAATATTTTTCAAAAAAACTCAAAACCACTGTACTCGTGAGAGTGTAAGCTTTCAAATGAGCTCCAGTTGAGCTTGATCGGATCATTTTTAAGGCCAAGGCGGCATCAGCCCGGTAGCTTTTTGAACACCACGTATGCACTATACGACCCCCTTGGATCCGCCCACGTTTTGCCGGTTAAAAATTTAATCTTCCACTCCGCTCTCCAACCACACCGATATCTCTTCAAAAAAATTGTGCCCTAGGGTGACATGAAACCAAAGAAAGGATAGGTGTTGCGATTTGGGCCGAAATCGGCCCCTTCCACGGAATCGAGTTCCACGCCATGTTTTTCAAAGAGTCCTTGAAAACTCCACGGCTGACATCGAAGTCTTCATTTTGCCCCCAGGCCGCCACAGCCCCCCTAGGGGAGGATGGGCCTGTTGCAATGAAAAATTTCACTAAAATGCAAAAGGTCACAAAAGAGCTTCAAACTTAGCATCGAGTCCGAGTACAACTTCTTCCTAATGTTAACGCGGACACAGCCTATATATGAATTAAAAGAGAGTATTCAAAACTCTTAACCCCCTGCCCCCCTTCATTTTTGGTTGCGGAGCGGGAAAAACCGGGAAATTCGGCAGAAATAATGCCCGATCTATTGTCCAACTTGACGAGGACCCTTGAAACGTTGCGACCAGTCGGAGGACTGCAATACAGAAGACTGCCGCCCACTTTAGGGACGGATAAATCTATAAAATCCCCGCTGCCCCCTGAATTTCATTCGTTATCCTTGACAAATTCAATTTTTGCCTCTTTATTGTTACCTGAGAATGGACGAGTATTAATACCAGTTGCTGCCTTCTTAAAAACGTTTTGTCCAACATGGATGAAGTTGTGAATATTGAAAGATCTCTCCTTTCTTCCTACGCCCATTTTTTTCAACTCCGATAAAGAGAATTCCTGGAGAAAGAAGACCGAAATGATGCCGAAAAGTAGTGTCCAACTTAAACCATTTCCCGGTTTTTACAAGCTCCGCGACGAAAAATGAGGGGAGCATTGGGGGTTTCATGGATGTTTCCGTCTCTAAAGTAGGCGGCAGTCCCTGTATTGCAGTCTTTCGACTGGTCGGAACGTTTCACGAGTCCTCGTCAAGTCGGACGTTACTTTCAGGCATCATTTCTGGTGAATTTCCCGGTTTTTTCCCTCTCGGCCACGAAAAATAAGGAGGCAACAGGGTTTTTTATGGATGATGATTTCGTCCCTCAAGAGGACGGAAGTCCCCGAACGGGGTCCTCCGACTGGTCGCAATGTTTCAAGGGTCCCCGTCAAGTTGGACAGTAGTTTCGGGCATCATTTCTGGCGAATTTCCCGGTTTTTACCAGCTCCGCAACGAAAAATGAGGGGGGCAGCGGGGGTTTTATGGATGTTGTACTCCCTGAAGTGGGTTGCAGTCTCTGTATTGCAGTCCTCCGACTGGTTGCAACGTTTCAAGGGTCCTCGTCAAGTTGGACAATAGATCGGGCATTATTTCTGCCGAATTTCCCGGTCTTTCCCGCTCCGCAACCAAAAATGAAGGGGGGCAGGGGGTTAAGAGTTTTGAATACTCTCTTTTAATTCATAGGCTGTGTCCGCGTTAACATTAGTAAGAAGTTGTACTCGGACTCGATGCTAAGTTTGAAGCTCTTTTGTGACTTTTTGCATTTTAGTGAAATTTTTCATTGCAACAGGCCCATCCTCCCCTAGGGGGGCTGTGGCGGCCTGGGGGCAAAATGAAGACTTCGATGTTAGCCGTGGAGTTTTTGGAATTATTTGGAAATATTTTCGGGGCAAGCACCCCAGAACCAGAATTCTCTTCCGCCAGCCACCCCCTCTCTCCCGGTTCGAAGAGTCTGGATCCGCTCTGGGATCCGCTTTTATGCGGCAAAACCAAGAGGCAGCTAATAAGAGCAACGGCTAGGTGGCAGGTACCTGCTAGCAAGTGTGGTAGGAAGGAGGGAGGAGAGAGGGGCTGGAGTGGAAAAGTCACACACCCCCGCGGCCCGCGGCAGGCGCCTTTGCGTAGGAGAGAAATTATGTCATCGAAGCAGCCAGCAGGACTGCCAGGCGTCCACAGGCGTCTAAACTGGCCGCGTGCGGGGTGGTGGCGGAGCAGTGGAGAGAAAAGATGAGAGAGTGATCAGTGGTGAGAGGGGGAATCAGCCCTCGGACTGCACCGACTCTCGGAAGAGGGGAATTCGAACGTTTGTCCGAGCCGTCACGATCGGTGCCTAAATCCGCTTTTCTCAATGGAGTATCGTGATTTTTGAAAGAAATGTGGCACTTCCGCGCGCGCGGCCCGTTTGAATAAGCGCAAAAGTGAAGATTCTCATTACGGCGTGCATATTTTCGGGTACTAATTTTCATTTAAGGTTAACATCGATTATAGCTGCATAATCCTGAGGATATGTACTTTGTAGTAACGTTGAGACATTTTTAATCTATTCAATCCTGACTTCACAAATTAATGAGAAGTGACAAAAAATGGCATGTTTTAAGATCAGCGACTGTGGCGCCATCTCTTAGAATTTTTTTTGAGAGCTTTATGTAGGGTTCTACCTTAAGGGGGAAATTGGGCCGTTTTGATATCACCTACTTTTAAATGATGAATTCAAACGGCAGAGCTATCGTATGTTTTTGGTATAATTTGTTCTTAAAAAAATAATCAGAGAGTTTTTTGGGATTGGGCCGAAATTTTGTACAAAAATCTATTTTTGTTTTTTTGGAAGGATTGGAATGATCGTGAAGTCACGCCTAACCACTTGTCGACATAAACAATGCGCGGAAAACGGAATGTACCAATTTACTTGTAAGGACTTCGTACATACCTTGAAAAATGGTTATCCAAATATCCACAAGTAACACTGTAAGCACAATCACAAATCACGGGAAACACCACAATTCTCGGTAATCACTCACAACGCTACGGAATGTACGGAATCTTCTCAGTTCTCGGCCACAGATTATTACGAGTCGAGTGTTCAGCAGAGATTCTAAATATGACGCTCAAACGCCTGCATTTTCCCGGTGAGGTTGAGGCATAGAGAAAAAAAAGGAGGTGTTTGCATCTTGAGGATTTGTACCCACCTACGTCATCAATGTAAACAAGACCAGGGAACTGGTCCCTGGTTATGTTGACGCTGTAAAAACGGACCATAATGTCCGATTTTTTTACTTAAATCAACTCTTTATTTAATTTCAAGCACTTTTTATAGATGACTTTTTCCCTTAAATTACACCATTTCCAAGAAAATCGACAGGATAAAAACGTCGCTGTACCCAATGACGTCATCAAAGCTATAGATACTCTATGAAAAATTCCAAGATGCCCGAAATGCAAACACCTCCTTTTTTTTCTCTATGAGGTTGAGGAGGTGAGGTCATTCGAGCATTCGACCGAGTGTACTTTGTCGTACCCATTTTATTCGGTGTTTTTAAGTTTTAAAATGATCATTTTGTGAGGAAGTGTACATCATATTCTTGCAATTTAAATTGCATAATGTCCTCTGTAGTTAAGAAGCAAGATTTGCCGCCTGTTGGTGGCTATCCATCCATTAACTTTGCAAGAGTCCCAGCGAAGCAGATTTTCAACCGTGAGTTCAAAAGCGCTTTGCGACTTTTCTCTGCTCTTCCATGTTCCTCTGCTCGCTTTATATAGATCCTATACTGCTGCCCCAACCATCTGCTCACCCACTTCAGATAATTGATTTTATTATCACAGCATTGTACTCACTGAACCCTGTGACGCATCAACTCAACCTGAAAACTCTACTTGTTGAGGTTATGTCTTGAATGCAATTGATAGATGAAAATTTATTACTAGCAAGACCAATCCACACAGATCAGTCATTGCGCAGCTTTTTTGAAATCCACTCCCCTGCCCGGCCCTAACTCGCAGCACCCATTGTGACGTAGCATTGAGTGCTCCTATAAGAAATACATTGCAGGCACTCAATACTACGTCACTGCGCAGTAGAGTACCAAAACTCGTCCTCGGGAATGACTGACCTGTGTGGATTGGTCTTGATTACTAGTACCCAGTGTCTTGAAACGTATTTTCCTTGATGATCGGTTGAACCAAAATGGGTGCATCATGTGCTTTTCGTAGTTTGCTTTGACGCGATCATACTTCTTCGGAATCTAATCGGGACTCACCAGATAGATAGAACATGGAATTCTTGCAAACATTGGAGCCAAAAGTGAATCCTACTAAAAGTAGGATTAAGAAATGACCTGATGTAGATGATGGCATCCGACCAGCATCAAATTCGAAAGCCCTATCTCAAATTTTTATCACAAACCCGAGTATGATCCGCCACCAATGGACCGCGTCATTTTGGCTCAACTGATCATCAATCAATGAAAATACGCTTCTGGGCTGTGAAATATTTTGTAGTCAGTGGCATTTCATGTACTTTGCCCATTGATGGTCACTTTTGTTTTGTCAGAGAGTGCATTTGCAAAATTCAATCCCTTTGGACCAAGCACACCCCCCGGGTTTGATTAGCTAAATTTATCAAAGTAAGTCCACAATAATACGGACTTGAAATTCTTATTGATGGTTTAAGGGTTTATGCTTAAAAAATCATTTTGAAATTGTTGCTGTCATATATCGATGGCCACATTGAGGAACCATGTATTCCCATTGCAGTGTTTCAAAATTTCCACTCCTATGCTATTTTCTTGATAAGAAACGAGCCAGCTTCATAGCTTAAAATTTTCACAAAACACTCGGATAACAGAGATGAGAATTCAAAGATGTTTTCTAGAAATTTTGTTGACTAGTTTTCTAAAGATAAAATGAAGCATGGTAGGAAATTTGCAATGTTGCAAACGGAAGTACAAGGTTTCTCATTTTGGCCATCTATCCTCTGTAAACATGAGTAAAAGCAGTGTATGAGCAAAAGTTAGCTCTTGCTTAGGATTGTTGTGTACTATGGCAATTTTTAAAGTTACCGTTTTCTTTCGAAAATAATTTTAATCAGCAAATAATAATTATTTTCAGCATGGCTTGCGATCCTTGGAACTATTGCCATTTGGGGAGTGAGTCGAGAACTTTACCACAAGGGCTACGTAGAAGTGATGATGGAAGAGGTTGAACAACGCAGTGTCCTGATTGCATTAGAGCCAATGCTGCTTGCTGAACGTGATAGAGCGTAAGTTGAATCAGAGATTTTAACGGTCTTGCGAGTTGAGTCTGTAGAGACTCAGACTTTAGCTCAGTATCAGAGAGTGAGATCTGCAGTTGGGTTACAGGTAGACTTGAGTTCAAGGTGCTGGCCTGCGATGATGATTTTTGTCAGTCTCGGACCACCAGCCTGAAACCAGGCGTCAACTGACGCGTAGTATTAAACCACGAGATCAAGATCCTCTGTCAACAGATGAAGAGACTCAAGCTCAAAGGTGCCTGTACGCAGACAGGGGTAAATACGCTTGCAGTGTGCCTCCACTGCGGCCAGGAAATCCTGATTTCCTTCTTTCCAGAAATCATCCTTGCTGTAAACCACATGAATGTTTATCATTGTTTGGCCTGCTTGTGACCCGTGCCACTCCCGCAACACCCCCGATCGGGTCCACTTCCGAGAAGTTCCGGTGAGCGCGCAGCCGAATCAACCGGCCAAACGGTCCTTCCCTGGAGAGTCTGCGTTGTCGTTGAGACCAGACCCAGACTCTCTCCAGAGAGTCTGTAGCTGCAGGGAGTCTGCCTACGGTCTCGCTTAGAGGGTAAACTCAATGGAGAGAGACCTGAGTCAGCCTCCTACGAAGGGTGGACTCGGACTAAAGGGTGCCCAGCCAGACTCGCTGGCGAGAGATCGATCCTGCATTGAGTTCGCCCGCTTACTCAACTCCCAATCCCTGAGTTGAATTAATTTCTGTCAATTCATTTTCCTTCTTTTCTCAATGTCAACCATGACGATCAAGGTAGTTGTAACTTTTGCCTCCTCTTTCCCCTAATGAGGTTTGAGCTTAATGGGCTTCTCTAGACAAAATATCATCTAAAGGAGTACATAATATGATACCTCTTCAAAATACTCAAGGATAAAGAATCTCACAGCAGAAAGTCTGGAAATAGACTCCTAAACAAGAAATGACTGTTTGATATTGGTTGAATGGCAAAAAAAGAAAATAAATAAAATCTTTTGTATTTGTACAATCTGACTGCCGTTTGATCTGTCTTCAAAAAACTTATCAGTATCTTGTTCAGAAGTTGATTTCCAAACTTTCCATCGTGAGGGTGGTTTTCCATGGAGGACTTTGAAGAAATACATGGGACTTTTGTTTCTTTTTAGACCATGTCTAATGGTCTATCTTCAACTAATTAGTAAACAAGTCGTACAACAAGTAGTACAACAATTAGTACAACAAGTCGTTGGATCGATCAGAATTTATTGCAACACTTTAGTTGTCCCTATGACTTTTGTGTTACCTTTATGAATTAATCAGTAAAAATTGAAGCTTCACATCACAAACTTGGGCAAAGAAAACATAGAAAATCAGGGTAGAGCATGTAATGTCCAAGTAACTAAGTACTGTTATATTCAACACACAAGTCTTTCATTTCTTCTATTTTTCTGAAATGCTGCAATTGAAGAAGTTAATCAATTAATAATTAATTAATTATTTTTATATTCATTTATGAATTAATTTCATTTTCTAATGAGTCTAACCCTATTCTCTCAATCAACCTTCTAAATATTACTAGTCAAACTCGTCATATATTTTGGTAACAGTTTTTATGCTCAGGGTGGCTAGCGAGCGGGAAACCTGGGAAAAATCAGGGAATTTTGTCAACAGTCAGGGAATTTTTTGTTGAACCGAGTTCCACGTAAAAATCGGATCCGCGACAAGCCAGCTGGTTGCATTACTGATGACTATAGATAGGTTCGTGTCATTTTTGCAGAAGTGATGTTAAGTGTTCATTTGCATAATTATTTACTTATGCGTATTTATAAATAATTCATGAGGTGGTTGAATTCAATAGTCCAAGGGTGATATAAAAAAAATTGACATCAGTTAGTGATTATTAAATGTTACTTTGATCAAAGTATAGTTAGTAATATTAAGTCTGTCAATTCTTTCAACAATTCTGATTTTCTTTCTGTCTCGATGCATTTTGTAAATCCATGTTTTTTTTAAAAAACTTCACTCCTGCACAGAGAAAACAGTTAGGCAGCATAGTTCCAAAGTTGGGCTATGCTGGAACCACATACTGGTTAGGAAAATCCTCCGAAAGGTTGGGTCTCAAAGTCCCTACTAGGGATATCAGCACCCATTTACCTCTGTACCTCCGTAGTTGAGACAATAGAACCCAACACTTGAAGACATAGGTCCCAACTTTGGAATGACTTCTCCCAAAAGTATGTGGTTCTAGGGCAGCCCAATTTATTTTACCCGAGAAAATTTTTTTTCTGAAAATTAGAAAGAGTAATTAATCTTTTCTGGAATTTTTTTATGAATATAAAAGAGAATAATTTAAAAGGAAATATTTAAGAAACCAATAAAGTGTAACTGTTAGAATTATATCAAGAAATTTTTTGGAATCTTTACATTTGTTGGAAGAAAACAAAAATTATCCGGTATCCGTTATGTCGAAAAAATATTATTTACATCATTTTTTGAATTGAAGATCACAGAGAACGAATGATCATAGATTCTAAAGATCAGTAAGTCATGGTTTTCACTTTAAAGTAGATTCTGAGACCTCAAATTTTGTAAAACTCAGTTAAATCCATCTTACTGGAAAGAATTTCTGAAGGTTGTTGCTCAACAATGCTTCACGGGTACTTTTTGACACATTAATTAATTGCCCTTATGTTATCGTAAAGAAAAGGGAATGATAAAATGAAATTTTGGCAGCCACCCTGTGTGCTGTTTCCTTAATCACCTTATGTGGATACCTCATGTTTGATTCTGTGTGATTGGCAGGAAAAGTACTACCGCATCAGTTACAGTAACCTTTCAACTTTTTGTGATGCTAGTATGCAATTTGTCCTCTTTGTAAAACTTCTTAAAAAAGCTAAAATCCCTGAAAAAAGATAGAGTTTATCAGAATTTTCGGTTTTACATTATTTTTCCATATCAGTTTCAATTTTAATTCTGAAAAGTTGGGCAGTTTTTCTTCAAAGATGTAATTTTACCAAGTTTATTGGCTTCAATCCAATAGCTTATGGTGAAGATGTGTACATGTCTTCACTATTATATGTATAGACTATTTGACAAATTTTGAGACTGTGCAATTTAGTAGGTACCTTCAAACAGAAAATTTCTTTTTTTTTTGGTATTGCAGTTGAAAATGATGAAGAAATATTTGTATGCTCAGGCATAGGATAAGCAAAAACTGGGAAGTATCAGGGAAAATGACGAAAGTGTCAGAGAAAATTGTTAAATTTCCTTTATTTGCTTTCCAGGATGTATTTCACGTTTCGAGCAACGATTGCGGTATGTTGGGGGTTGAAAATGGCAATTTTTAACCATCTGGCATATTGTCAAATGTTAGAGAATTTGACCTCACTTGGTTTGAGAAATATCAGGGAATTTAATTTTCTAATTTCTAAGGTAACATGGGTTTTCTTGTTGGGAAGAAACAAATTTTACAACACCTTTTCGTTCACACATGCGGAATAGTTGTTGCAAATTGCGTTTATTCCATGACTCAGAGCGTCAATATTAAGAAGAGGCTGATTTTATTCTTTAGTGTTATACTGTAAAAGAGTACTGCAATGACCCTGAATTATGTTTTGTCTATTTCTAGGTTCCTGAAGCAGCTCAGGAAAAACCGCGATGAAGAAAATGAATTAATGAAGAACGTTCCCAATTGGAAAACAGGCCATTACTACAGCCAGCCTCTTTACATAAGTGTTCCCAAAGACACACTATTAAATGTGCCTCTCTATGAATACTACGCTCATGCAGAGAAAAGCCACTCGTTTTGGAGAGTGTTCGAGTTCATTAAGCACTGAGTAAGTTTTGATATTATATTTTTGACCATCAATGAGAAAAAATGTATCCGTGTGTGTGCTAATTTTTCAGGGGCCTGATTTTCATCAAGCTGGGTCGAAAAATTGACTCTGAGCTCATCAGTAGCATCCCAAAGAATGAGTTGCCAGTGACTTATTTATTTTTTGTATCAAAAGAGGGCTCAAATGAACTTCATTTGGCAATAAGGAACCACTATTTTTGGCTCATCCTTAAAATTATTCATCAGCATGGGGAAACTAATGTCACACATGCTGTATCTAAAATGACCAGGGCTGTGCAAATATTTGCATATATTTGCAATATTCGATTGCAATGAGCCTGCTTATCTTGGTTGCTCCTAGAATACCACTCATTGAAAGTTAAATAACCAAGACAGAAAGAGGGTGTGAGACAATATCTAAGTGAAATTAATTATTGATAATCAATCATTCGACTAATTATTGATAAAATAAATTCGTAAAATCATATTATTGGTTGAAAATGTAAACAATACAATCCAAAACATGATTTTGTATTCAAAATAGAATCTGATAAGGATTTAAGCTAACAAATGAACTAGCTGCAGGTTGTTGACTTATTTGTCAACTTTTGTAATATTTGCAAAGAGGTTGTTCCAAAAACGCCGATTTTGGCCCCCCCCCTGGATTTGTCCCAAACTTTGGTCAGATGTTGTACTATGTGTCCCCGATGCTTGGGCAAAATTTCAGCCCCCTCGGATAATTAGCGGGGAGGGGGCAGGGGGGCAAAGTTGCAATTTTTTTAAAACTTTAAAAATCGATATCTCGCGAACGGTTTGAGTGTAAGTGTTGCGGTTTGCGCTACAAAACGTCAAAAAATATTCTCTACAAGAATATTAATGCTGTTTGCAAGGTTGCGTAATTTATCGCGGTCATACATCGATTTTTTCGATTTTGAAGGTTCGACTTTTTTTCGTTTTTCGTCTCTCCTCTCTTTGGAATCGTTGCTACGTGAATAAAAACCTGTTGAGGTGATTCTCTATAAAATTCTGCATCTACCACACTTAGTTTGATCTTGGGGAAACGATTCGTTTGTGAGTTAGCGATTTTTCTGCGCGTTATCGGTTACGCGCGGGCGGCTTATCGGCGGCGTTCCATCCCGCGCGGGCAAGGCAGAGGTTGTTTCACCGCTAGGGCCTTATATTCATGCTGTAGGCTTTAATTAACGATATTTTCTCCTCCCCCCACCCTTCCCCTGCAATAAATATTTGTTTAATACTTCGTTATACAGGGTATCCCAGACCACCCGTAACAGGTCTTTTTCTCGGTTGGTTTAGGTAGTACGAAGTGGGGGGCCGCGAGATTGAATAGGGAATTGACCCCAAGGAATCCGAATTTCACGGTCCCGAAACCCCCCATGCCCCCCTTGGGAGGTAAAGAGGGGGTCACGATCCCCAAAGTCGGGAGACATTGTGCCTCCCCCTTTTACCCCCCGAGGGTGGCTAGGGGGGCATCGGGACCGTGAAATTCGGATTCCTTGGGGTCAATTCCCCATTCAATCTCGCGGCCCCCCACTTCGTACTACCTAAACCAACCGAGAAAAAGACCTGTTACGGGTGGTCTGGGATACCCTGTATAACGAAGTATTAAACAAATATTTATTGCAGGGGAAGGGTGGGGGGAGGAGAAAATATCGTTAATTAAAGCCTACAGCATGAATATAAGGCCCTAGCGGTGAAACAACCTCTGCCTTGCCCGCGCGGGATGGAACGCCGCCGATAAGCCGCCCGCGCGTAACCGATAACGCGCAGAAAAATCGCTATAACTCACGAACGAATCGTTTCCCCAAGATCAAACAAAGTGTAGTAGATGCAGAATTTCATAGAGAATCACCTCAACAGGTTTTTATTCACGTAGCAACGATTCCAAAGAGAGGAGAGACGAAAAACGAAAAAAAGTCAAACCTTCAAAATCGAAAAAATCGATTTATGACCGCGATAAATTACGCAACCTTGCAAACAGCATTAATATTCTTGTAGAGAATATTTTTTGACGTTTTGTAGCGCAAACCGCAACACTTACACTCAAACCGTTCGCGAGATATCGATTTTTAAAGTTTTAAAAAAATTGCAACTTTGCCCCCCTGCCCCCTCCCCGCTAATTATCCGAGGGGGCTGAAATTTTGCCCAAGCATCGGGGACACTTAGTACAATATCTGAGCAAAGTTTGGGCCAAATCCAGGGGGGGGCCAAAATCGGCGTTTTTGGAACAACCTCTTTTCGCACTTAGAAAAGTCATTATTCGCAAGCAAATATTTGTATTAACATTCGTAGTTGTGAATAATTGGCTTAAATTATTTGTTTTACTATTTACATTTGCGAATAATTGACAAGATTATTTGCTATTATTCCGTTTGAAAAATACTTGTTCATCCCAAAAAATGACCCAGAAATAGTAGTTACTTATTTAAAAATTTAGTCCAAAATGGGGTATCGATAAGGGGTGTTTTTGGGCCCACCCTAGCTAAATTTCCTCAACATTTTGCTCCTTGAAGTCTATATTTTATTTGATGCATCATTATTAAGTCATTTTAGGTTTCTTCGGGTCTAATACTGGCTCTTGCGGCCGATGTAGGCGATTTTAGGATTTTTCGGTATTTCACCGCAAATCTGCATTTTTCGCCTGATGCGCCCTTCAGACCCAAGTCCAAGCCAGTATTAGATTCAAAAAGTAAGCAGAAAGGACCATGATACATTCTGTAAAATATGACGCGGGGACAAGGCTTAAAAAACACAATAATTTACAAAACATTTATTGTGTTAACATTTATTTTATTGTGTTTTTTCAGCCTTGTCCCTGCCTTTTCTTGTCCTATTTTATATCTATGTTCTCGGGCTGCCATAGTGTACATGTATCTATATTCTGTAAAATATAGACCTTTAATGAGCCAAAAATCGTAGAGTTGAGGGAATTCACCGAGGGTGAGGCCAAAAACGGCTCTTATCGATACCTCTCCTTTGCATTAAATTCCTGCCAATTTAAACTCTTGAACTCTCCAGCTTAAATTGCTAAATATACCTCTTGGCAACTTTTTCTGAGGGCAGTTCAAAGCCCAGAACTTAGGTTTTGTTTAGCATTGAAGGGGTTTTTGTGTGCCTAAATGCTCCCCGAACACTCCTCTATGCAGTAGTGCCAATACGTCAATGGGCATCTCTACAAGGTATGAGTTAAAGAACATTGCTAAGTGTTTCCTTTTCATTCATTGATGAGGAAAATGTATTGCTTGCACAACAGGGAGTCTAGAAATCAACTTTCAAAAAGGATATGAGTATTTACGGTTAAAATTGGTTCAACAGAAAAACATAAATGACACTATTTGTATAATCTAACTTCCATTCAATCCTTTCCTTTTAAATACTTGTGGATATCTTATTCAGGAGTTGATTGGCAAACTTCCTGTCCTATGAATAGTCCTAAAGGATGATTTTCAAGAGGAAACTTGGATTTTTCATCCTGCCTCAAACCTTTTGTAGTGGCCCACTGCAAGTTTTTTGGCACCAAGTTTCCTTCACCCACGCATGGCGACATTTTTATATTATGTACTTGAAACACTTTAGCAATGTAATCATCTGCCAATGTCTCACTGTGTTTCAAGTTCTTATAACTGTCAAAACAATAAGTTAGGGAGTTGTAACTTTGACAGGGAAAACTGAGGGCTTTTAGTTCAGCTATAACTGAAATGCAGAAAATGGCTCTTTTATCATTGACTAGCAGGAAACCCGTGCTACGCACAGGAAAACCCCACCATCAGCAATCACTGTGATTAGTGATCAGTTACTAATTGTGTTTCTGAATTATTATCTACTATTTCAAAATTGGCGAGACGCACTGGTTTGATAAAAATGCAGAGATTAGTAGTATGCTGATTAAAGCTGCTATTTTGGTCTGTTCTGCAGTAAGCGCATGTGATAATTATAATAATCAAAAATACCCAATCAAAAGTTGGTTATTTTCATAAGGATTTGTTACTTTTGTCAGTTCAATGTTTAATTGAAGTTAGCATGGTGAGTTTCAGCCGCGAAAATTACGGGATTTAACCAGCGGTTTCGTCTAATTCTCAGAAATGGCGGGTGTCATCTACATCGCGGAGAAAACGTGATTTTTCCAGGGATTTTGTAAAACAAATTAGAAATTACACGATAATCACCACGATATCACTGCAAATACGTCGTGTTCCTAGCGAATTTCTAAGATTATTATAATTGCACGTTATTCACATCAATATCGTGGTATACACGCGAATTTCTGACTCAATTAAGACTACACAATGTGCGCATAAAACTCGTAAACATATGTTACTTGGAATGGGCGAAAACGTATGATTTTCCTTCAATTTTGTATGATACCACATACCCACTCCGGAGTTCAAATAGTTGCTCGTCTTATTTCTGCTCGTTTAAAGTGACGAATTGGAAGAATCCAAATTCAATTTCACGAGAACTATGAAATGTAACCATGTGGAATGGTTTCCTTATATAAGATTTAATGTTTTGAAATAAAAAAAGAAAAAAAAAAAAAAAAGGCATGTCGAAGCTATGTTCTAGTTTTGCTCCGCTGTCAGCACCGCGTCTGCAGGCGCAGTGTGACCGAGCCGTCATCACAGTACAAAACGCCTTCAATCTAGCAAGCGGCAATGTGGACATCCCCCGTGGAGTAATAGTTCTATCAAAAGCGCCTTCCACGATCGGAGTCAAATATTGATGAAATGCGCGCGAAAACCCCGTTTCTCCTCCGATTGCAACGTTGCACGTCGTCTTTATGGTCCATTTTGGTTTATTTATTTTATTTTTGAAGCCAAACAACAGCTTCTCTTAAAATTTTTCGAGAATTTGCCCAAATCATTTCCAAACAGAAGATAAAAAAAGTAACAAAAAATAACCCCAGGCGATGTGAAGACTAAATCACAACAATTTATTTACTTTCGGACTTGAGCAGTTAAATTTTCGCAAAAAAAAAGAAAGAAAAAAAAACAGAAAACGGAAGGCTCCGCGAAGCACATTTTTCACCAATCTTTTGCAAAAAAAAAAAAAACGGAAGAAAACAAAAGGATCCGCGGAGCAAATATCTCATACTTTCGCAGAGGTGACCAATGCCATAGAATAAAGAGTCTATGCCAATGCACAGACAGATTTTCCAGATTTTCACATCCCCAAGAGAGTAGCCCGGCAACGGATGCACGAGTCGGAGCTCGCAAAAATCATGGCGCGGCGTTTCCAACAGCGCTACGCCGAACTCGTTCCATCTTCCTCGCACTCGTTGGACGCCGAACTCCTTCCATCTTCCTCGCACCCGTTGCGCGTACCAGAAGAACACACGTAAAATTTATCAGCTGTCTTCCAGCGCGAGCCGCGGAACTCGCTCCATCTCGCTCGCACTCTCTCTCGCACCCGTTGTCCTTACGGGAAAATCGACCCGCGCGGACCGCGATATCCCGCGAACCGGCGGGCGGATCGCGAAATCCTCCCTTATCCGGCGCCTCGGGGTAGAGAGGGATCCCAGTGCGGAATCTCAGGGTCACACGGCCTCCCGTTCACGAGATCCGCTGATACGTGAGTCAGTGAGTGAGTCAATCAACGTGAAGTCTGCTTTATTAGTATAGATTTACTATAGATACTGATCAAAACTGTTTTGGAATTTTTCTCGTTTTGGTGAGCAAAAGTTTCAGAGAGAGAGTATTCTTTCCTTTAGCCTATAGGTATCCTGTCTAGGGAGGTTGAAGTGTTATCACAGTAGTCTGTGTACGCCCATTTTAATTATTTTCAAGTTCATGAAATTACTAGATTCACGGGATACTTGAGTCCTTGATGTTAGAACCAAAAGGTTTCCTTGGAAACAACATTTTGGGTAATCTTTCAGACATTGGCATTGAATCAAAGAAAAAACAAGAGCAGCATTTTGAAAAAACAGGCCGAGTGGCACCTCTTACTTTTATGAGTCGTTTCTGATTGGTTGATCCGCCTGGTGCCGTTCTGGGACCCTTATGGAAAATAATACGGGGTTCATTTTTAATCCAAAATATCTCAAAAACAAGGAAAAAATTCTACTTTGGAGATTTCAGAAATCAGTTGTCCAGGTTTTTCTGAAGAGATTGATGGGTAATATATGACACTTTTTTCTCAAACACACCAAACAGTTTGACCTGGAATTTCGTTTGTTCAACTTGAAATATGACACTCAACATCATGAAAAAAACAAAATTCCAGGTCGAACGGTCCGGTGTTTTTGAGAAAAAAGTGTCATGTGTTCCCATCAATCTCTTCAGAAAAATCTGGAGGATCAATGTCTCCGGCGTTTGAATTTTTCCTGGTTTTTGGGATATTTTTGGTGAAAAATGAACTCTATGTTATTTTCCACAAGGGCCCCAGAGTGTAGACACCAGGCGGGTCAGAAAACTTGTGAAAGTAGGGGGTGCCACAAATTACTGTTCTTGTATTTTCTTTGCATTGAATCAGATGTTGGCTCACCCTTACGTTGGTCTTGAGCGTTTCGTTGGTGCTTCTCAAACTTCTCAAAACTTCTCAAGCAGATTTCTTTAAGAAATTTTTAATTAATTCATATCCTCCTCAAAAAACTTGGGTTGAATTTCCTAAGATTCTACGTAAACCAGATAACCAAAAGTAATTGTGAGTCCTCGATTTTTTATTTGTCTAAACTGCATGAGCCCTGCATGGCAATACATTTATATTAATTGTATCCAACTGTCTTTCCATGTTACAGATGTCTAATTTTGAAGTGTATTGGTGCACAAGTTTTAGAAAATTCAAGAGAAATTCGTATCTTCATCTTCAAGTGGAGCAACAGGTTAGTCCTAACAGTTCCATTCTCATGGGAAGAGACAGTTTGGGGAAAAAAAGGAAGAAATTTAATGTTTATCTTAGTGAGCTAATATTATGGGAAATATGCTAATTGTAAATAAAAGTTGAATAATCAATTTAAATCGTAATTATTTATTGATTATGTACCTAACCAAAATTTTACCCTTCCTGAACACTTTTAATGCTTCTCTTATAAAATTGAAAATTAACTGTAATCAAAGTGATTTTAGAATCCCTATTGCGATTATTGCAATAAATAATAATAAAAAAAATCCATTAGACTTAAATTGACCGGTTTGTTTTAAAAAAGTTCATAACAAACGGGAAAGGCAAAAACTAAATGTCTTAACATTTTTGGAATTCTATCGGCATTTAAAGGGATGTAATTTCCTGAGATCATCTCTCCAACTGGAAACTACTGCTAAGTATAACCTAGCATTATTGTTCACATTTCAGCAGTTTGCCTTATTATTTTGAATCTATTTTGCCTCTCGCCAATGCCATACTTTGTTTTAATATAAAGTCGATCTCCGGAAGAACTTTGCAAGTTGCAAGTCGCACTTGAGGTTTAGCCCAGGGGCGGGAATCTTTTATTTTTTATAATGCAGGACACTAATCGCTACAGCCATTTTTATATTCAACCCCTGTAGACAACCAGAGGGAGCAGGAGGTCAGAGAAAACTTATGAATTGGCCGTAATTTTTGAACCATTGCAGATATCAAGTTGAACGTTTTTTCAAATTAAAAAACATATAAAGACGTTTTCATAAGTTTAAGAAGTTATCAATTTTCTTTTTAAATTTTCCAAAGGACTTCTCTTGTAGGATTACCTAAAATTCAGCTGTATACAGCTAAAAACAAGCTAAATTTATAAATTTAGAAATGCCCCATTAACTTGGTAAGCTTAATACCGCCTACTGAGGTTCGATCAGAGACAATGTACTTTAGAGGCCAATAAGATCAAAAATATAACGAACTAGAAGGATAAATTAAATTACAGTAAAAGCCAATAGTATATATTAGAATAAATGAAAGAAGCACCCAAATTAAATGTACTGACTTAACGTTCTAATACAGTTTTTGAACAAGGTATCAGCCATCGAAATTTTATGTATGGATTTTTCCCATAAAACCGAGAAATTCGATTGAGGAGAGTTGGTTGTGGGTAAAGAAATCAGGCCTGTTGTCAGCGCTACTACCGGTTTCACGCCTGTTAGTAGTCATCAAGTGTGCATAGATACCCAGCCCCGATTTGAAGCTCGAACACTTTTGATTAACGTATTAACTTAGAAATTATTCAATTCCGGTAAGTTTACTGCCATCTCCCCTCTCATTCAATAAGCAGATTTGCCTTATAATGTCTGTTGACACAATATTGAGCGTTTGGATTAGTACACCTATAAGCTATTTTTCTTTGATCAAAATGGGAAATTGTTGCAACTGTCGAGTGTTGCCCATCAAAATTAGGAGGCACAGTCCTACTTTTCGATCTGCATTAGCCGCGAATTGAGTATCTAAAGACACTTATTCAATACTTTTTTTGCAATTTATGTTGATCAAAAAGTAGAGATGCCTCTTAATTTTAATTGGTGACACGTAACAGTTGCAGTCGCAATGCAATGTCCCTTTTTATCATGGAACCATTGCTATAATCTGATTTTCAAAAACTCACCTAACGCCTCAACATTCATTATCCATAATTACAAGTATTATATGTTTGACAAGTTTGTCATTGATCATCATTAGAAGTACCAACCAATTGCGGTGAACGCACGGGTCGAAAGACGAGATGTTGGAGTTTTTTAGCCAACGTGCGTAAAAAATTCAGCTTAAAGCTGAAATCTTATTAGAGATGGAAAAAGCCCACACACGAGCACATTTTTCCCTCAAAGAGATATGCTGTTCGGAGCAACACTAGTTACGTCCATTCAGGAAGGCAACTACAGACGCGTTTCAGCCTTGTTGGGCCAATCCTCAGTGCAGTGCAGCCTCCTGAATTTTCTGCTACCAAGCTCGAGAGGTCGTTAAAACCAGCCCGAGACTTGGGCAAGCGGACGCGGCGACTAGTAAACTTGCGCCATCTAGTGAGCGATTATCCAAACAGCTCCGCATAATGCCTGGCAAGCATTGCTGTTGCTCCAAACAGCATATCTCTTTGAGGGAAAATTGTGCTCGTGTGTGGGCTTTTTCCCTCTCTAATGAGATTTCAGCTTTAAGCTGAATTTTTTACGCACGTTGGCTAAAAAACTCCAACATCTCGTCTTTCGACCCGTGCGTTCACCGCAATTGGTTGGTGTTTATCGCCTTGCCAGGTATTATGCGGAGCTGTTTGGATAATCGCTCACTAGATGGCGCAAGTTTACTAGTCGCCGTGTCCGCTTGCCCAAGTCTCGGGCTGGTTTTAACGACCTCTCGAGCTTGGTAGCAGAAAATTCAGGAGGCTGCACTGCACTGAGGATTGGCCCAACAAGGCTGAAACGCGTCTGTAGTTGCCTTCCTGAATGGACGTAACTAGTGTTGCTCCGAACAGCATATCTCTTTGAGGGAAAAATGTGCTCGTGTGTGGGCTTTTTCCATCTCTAATAAGATTTCAGCTTTAAGCTGAATTTTTTACGCACGTTGGCTAAAAAACTCCAACATCTCATCATTAGAAGTAGTGTTGATCTCTAAACTTATCCTTTGCCTCACCAAATTTCATTCTTCAGATTGGAAGTGCAGAAACTCGAAAATCTATTGTCTCTGCATCTAATTATAGCCACCCGAATGTTTTCAGGCGAAGAACGCCACTAACCATTCCTCCATCAAAACTGACGACCATTTGGGATAGTTCGGTATGGGTAAATTAAAATTTTCTTTTTTCAATATAGTATTATATATGTTGCAGGCAATTAGCCAAATAAAGTATTTTATCAAATGCCCAAGCAGGTAGTCAAATTTTGACAGTTTACAACATTTTGTAACATTATGGCGAAGAGCTCTCGGGTTTTCAATATTTTGGGGGAAATAACTCATAACATCTACAATCTCTTATTGTCTCTTCATCTTTAATGCCTCTCACATATTTAAATGTTAAAATTTTAAAATTCTGTATTTTATGACTTGCTAAAAATTTCAAGATAAATGTTCATTTGGGAGCTAAAAATCGTTTAAAATACTATTGTATGGTGCACATTTTTACAAAGAATCCTTCCTTACAAGAGCAGTCAATTATTTTGTTTCAAATCAGGAAGAGAATCAAAATTTCAATCTAAGATAGAATTTTTTACTATTTGCTGAGGCATTTGACAAAATGCTCGATTTTACTATTTACTTGCGATATATACAAAGAAAATTAGCTTTGTTATTAAATGACAAAACTAATTTTCATTGAATTAAGTAAATGGAAGCCATTTTTAATTTTTTAAAAGAATCATTTTACTAAAATGTAAAAATCGCTTAAAGTTAACATTTTTCAACTCAATAAAGGCAAAACAATTTTTCTCCGATCGTAGACAATTTTTTGTTTCTAAAATTCAAAATAGACACTCATTTTTTTTTAATCATTTTCTCCACGTACTCCGTTGCTCAGAGCCTCTTCCAATCAGGCAAGGGTCCAGTTCTGCGGACTCAAGGGACCTCATTCCTCACCATAATCGTGTCAAGTGCTCTGCCTTGGTCGCTGTCAGAGGGACATGTGTCGATTGAGGTGAAGTTCTCAAAATCCGCTCCCAGGTTACAGCAGCTATTCGCTTGACACCATCCCCAATCATTCTGGTCGATGCTGCACTGGGACTCCATGAAGACGCAAATTTTTTCAGTCGAGGTCCTCAAGGCTCTCAATCCACCAGAGGCCATGTCCAAGCAAGATTCGTCGGTGATCGGTTTTCCGGTTCCGGAGCAGAACTGTTTCGTGTACACCTTAGCGTCCCACCCTGAGACCGACATGAACAAGGGTAGAAGAAGGGTAGCACAGGCGCATGGGAGTATCAGTTGATTCATCATCTCAAACTGTCCAGATTTGAAGCAGCGGAAAAATTATGATAATTGCGGGGTGATTGTTGAAATTGATAGACAAAGATGACAAAAAGAATATGGAGGGATCCTAATGGTGGAAGCAGGTGGTTGCAATTGAGGAAGGGTGTAGGTACGTAATAGAGAGACTAACAGCAACCCATGAGAGACCCTTTAGTCAGTCAATTATTTTCTCCCTTAGTCATTAGAACCACCCATTGCAACCAATAGGATCGCTCCATATTCCTTATGTCTTCTTTGTCTATCGCATTGTCTATCAATTTCAACGATCACCCTGCTGGACGTGGGAAAAAGAGCGCGTGAGAGTGAGGGTGATTCGGAAAAAAGAATTTCGGTCTCAGATCATGCGGCCGTGCTAAGTAAAAACACCGTATGAGCTATCGAATGTTGCCGAAGTTCCTCTCATAAAATATTTATTTTTGAAGTACGCCATGAATATTTTTCCTTGTAATTTTCCGACTCTTTAGATCGAATCTCGAGCGAAATCCTCTGAAAAATTGGAGGAGAGATATTCATAAATTGTCCTAAAAATTCGTGATATGTCTAAGGAAATTAGGCAGCTGCTGATGGCTCGTACGGCGTTTTTCCACAGCACGGCAGTATGGTTCCCCGTAGAAGTTCCAGCGGACCGATTATTGAAACTGATAGATAAAGCTGTAGACAAAGACGACATAAGGGATTTGGAGGGATCCTATTGGTGGAAACGGGTTGTTGCAATGGACAAAGGAGGTAGGTAATCGACTAAGTAACGGCAACCCACGAGAAACCCGACAGTTAGTCTATCATTTTCCCCCTTAGTCGATGAGAACCACCCATTTCAACCAATAGAATTGCTTTATACCCCCTATGTCATCTTTGTCTATCGCTTTGTCTATCAGTTTCAATAATCGCCCCTGGAGGGTAGATGACACGAATACTGCCGTGCTAAGGGAAAACACCGTATGAGCCCTCAGATGCTGCCATATTCAGGGCCGGATTTACCTACTTGACGCCTGTACTCTGCCGCCCCCTTCTCATTCGTTTTGAAATATCAATAAAAACCAACAGGAGGAGGGGTGCATAAGACGCGTTTACTCGTGTTGGACACATTTTTTGCGAAAATCCTGTCAACACTACTTGCAAAAGTTCACGGAACATTGCGCGAAAGTTAAGTTCCGTAAACCTATCTCTGTGTGGATAGGCTTTCATTTATAAGAAATGAATGAAAAAATGGACCACTAGACAAGGTACAAATTTCAGCATTCTGATACATGTTTCTTAACCAAAATTTCACGTAAAACACGATTCGCACAACGAAAGTTACCGAAATCATCTCCTTCCGAAGATATTTAATGATTCTTGGTGTGTGAATTCAAACCACCCGCTCATGGAAACTCAATGCTCTACGCGATTCACATCGCGCACTAAACGTTATCATGACTGTCTCTGCGATAAAAAGAAATGGCAACCTCAATCTTGACACTTTGGCTCAGTTATAGCAAATTGCTTATAGTTTGAACAACACATGATGGGAAATGAACATTGCTTGATTGAGAAGCTTGATGAAACCGTTTTAGTGCGAGATTTGACTCACGTAGAGCTTTGAGTTTCTCGTGAGCGGGCAGTTCAAATTCCTCGTAACAAATGTGAAATAAAAACGTTGATATCTTCGTTAGGAGTTGGTTTCAGTACTTTTCGTTGCGTAAATTGTGTTTTGCGTGAAATTCCGGTTTAGAAACATGTATCAGATTGCTTAAATTCGTACCTTGTCTAGTGGTCCGTTTAAATCTTAACTTCCGCCGCGCCGCCGCCGTGCCGTACCGTGTTTGGTGCAATGCGTGAGGTATTCCTAAAGTCTCGTAGGCGCTATGCGTTTCACGTCGACCGTTGCTGACCGCACTGCATTTGACGCAATGCGTGAAGTATCTATGCAGTCTCGTAGGTGCTAATATGTGTTACATGCTGACGACCGCGCCGAGGGCTTCTCTTTTTCATCTCAAGTCCTCGTCATTATTGCTCACTGCGCCGCGCCGTTCCAGGCCAAAATTGCGTGTTCGATTCTCTTTTAACTCGACTAATTAAAGGGGCTGTCTCTTGTATTACCGAAAGACGAAAAAATTAGAAATTACTATACTCTCAGGAAATGAGAGCTTTTGTCGCCTTTTCTCCTTCGTAATTTGTTTTCTGAATCCGAATTTTTTTTATACCTACATTTAAAAAAATTGTAACATTTGCCGCCCCCTAAATTCGCCGCGGCTCATGTGGCCACCCCCTAAATCCGGCCCTGACCATATTACCTTCAATAAAAGTCAAATTTTTCGGACGATTTTATTCGCGATTTGATCCAAAATATCTGAAAACTTCAAGGAAAAATACGCAAAACTTTCCTCGCAAAAGCGTGTTATATTCGAGGAAATTTGGTAACTCTCAAATGTTAATACGGCTTTCCTCCTTAGCACGGTGGAGTAGAGCTACGAAACATTTCGGGTCGATCCGTTAGTTTTTGAACAGTGAGCACCCTCTTTTTAGATAAAAATCGTGATTTTTCGTACTTCCATTTCCGGTCAATTTTAACACACATCGACTCCCGGCAGAAAATCCACAAGACAGAATAAAGTACCGAAGTAGAGCTTTGAAAAATTTGGGCAAGATCGGATTATTCTTAGGAATCGCGCACCCCTCTTTTTACCCGCGAGAAAACGACCGTCGAAATGGACTTGACCCCGTGGGAAAACGAGCTAAACCGGCGGCTGGGGGGTGAGCACACCCTAAAAATAATCACATCGTGCCCAAATTTTGCACAGCTCTACCTAGGAATTGTAACTGTTGGATTTTTATCTGGGAACTGAATTCCAAACCCACAAAGTATGATGAAAAATCTCGATTTTGGTGTATAAAAGGAGAATTGCTAGTGGCGAGGCGTGAAAGATCGATCAATCGATGTCTCCCCGTTTGAAGCTATGGTAAATAATCGATTATTAAGGTGCTCGGTGCGGACATTCTGCCTATCGATCCTTTTTTACCTATAGGTTGAAATGACAGGTCAATCAATACATCGCAAAGCACGCCACGCCACTTGGGGGTGCGCACCCTCCAAAACATCCGCCTTATTCTTGTCATCTATCTTCTAGGATTTTTACCGGGAACCAAATTTTTATTCGAAACCGATTTTTTTTCCTGAATCGCCCTACTTAATGAAACGCAACAGTCAGGCGAAGACCTCTTCTCGAAAACAAGCTAAACACACTTGAAAAATCCCTCGTTTTGTCGAAAATTAATGATCATAGAATCACAAACCATACGGTGCGAGAAAAGAGCGGTGGCACTTGTGGGACCTAGGAGGCTACTTAACAAACTGTCATGATCTTCCAGACAGTCTGAATACCTCTGTAACCCAAGTGTCAGCCAGCGGTGCCAAGTTTTTCGTCTGGATCATTATTCTACGTCTTATTTTAGAGGGACTTCTGAATAGATTCGGTGGCGACGCTATCTGAGGCAGGGTTGCCTGCGGGTCGATTATTGAATCCTTATCGAAGCATCCTGATCGATAAATCCCTATCTTTGTAATGCCTTTAATCGATCAAACCCTAGTAGCAGTGGTTGTTGAGAAAAGTTGTAAAAAAACTCGTACATTTTAAGAGAATTTAAAATTTACTTTAAAACCACTGGAAAATTACGTGAAAAACTCCTGATATATTCGTATCAGGAAACGTTTTTTAGGAATTTTTTACAAAAAAATGGTAAAAACATTTTAAGTAAAATTTACGTATTTTTTGTATAAACTTCCCGCGTGCAAAAACGAGGAAAAAAAGTGGTGAACAGAAAATTACCTATTAAAGGAAAAGTTGCAGCCCCTAAAAATTGAGAATATAGTTTGTTGTTTTTCACGTAAATATTACGTTTTCTTTTAATTAAAATAGGTAACACTATTTTTTTTTTTAAGAATTCCCCAAGAGGGTTTCGTAAAACGAGTGGTTTAAGAGTTTTTTTTTTTTTTTTTACTTAAAATTTACGAACTCCTACACCGAAAAAAAAGTTCTGTTCATAGGGCTCCTGCACTTCTTTTGTAACTGTCACAGAAGCTTCCATTATTAGGACTGAGTACTCTGTTCTCACGACCGAAGTTCTGTTCTCACAACAGACAAATTCTGTAAGTGTAACGAAGAAACTGCAGGAGCCCTGTAAACAGAAGGTTCTGTCGTCAGCACCATCAATTTTTTTCTATGTAAAATTTTAAGTTTTTTACATTTTTTTGACAACTTTTTTAGAATTTTTTTTAACAGTCATTGCTACTAGGGATGTCATTCGAAATCGATTCAACAATTGACCCGTTTTTTTCGGACGGCAACGAGCGAGGAAATTTACCCATTTTTCGACAGAATCTGCCTAATTGCATTGCACGTTGCCTACTTGGACTTCGGAGAATAGGATTTATTTATCCTTCCATTAACCGACTTGCCATAGGGACTCGCTCTTCAAATATGACCTCTCGCCTATCTGCAAGTACCGATAGGTTACAATGAAATGTGACTAAATTTATTTTTCAATATCACTAGTGCAAACACATTTTAAATGATTTCATTACACTGGCAACACTGCACAAGTCAATTTGAGTTTTATCAAGACCAACGACGTTCCCCGAACCCCGATCAGTTGCCTACGGAGAGGTGTCCGGCNGGGGGGGGGGGGGGGGGGGGGGGGGTCCGCTTATCCTCCAAAGAGCTGACCTTAGTGATATTTGACTTAAGACATTTGTTTGCGTTCAGCAGATAGTCATACATATGAGCGATGAAAATTCCACCTATATATCTATACTATAAGCTCCAAGACCTCCTAATTTTGCGAAACTGGTGACGCTTAGTTCCAGCGTTCTACCGGGCCGATTTTCATAATTTTTGCGGCTATTGACGGGCAATTGTCTCTAGATAAGCCAACTCTTTTCAGATTTTGAAAATATGGCCCAGGTTTTTTTATATTACGTGGTAAAGTTGCGAATTCTCCCATATAAACAATGTAAATTTATGTGTTTTGTCATAGTTCGTTTGAGCATTCTACTGGGCCGATTTCCATGATTTTTGCGTAAATCGACAGGTAATAGGCTCTAGATGAGCCCGCTCTAATCAGATTTTGGAAAAAGGAACCAGGTTTTTTTAAAATCACGTTATTAAAGTGAGTGAATTTACAGAGTGCTCCGGGACTGCTACCGCTATGCGCGGGAGGATGCGCAGTGGTCGAGGAGGTTGCGCAGTAGGTGTGTAGCCTGCGCATCAGCTCTACACTTATCTACACAAGATTTCCGCCGAATACCTTAAGACGTGCGGTGGCCGAGTCGTCTACGACGTCGGAATTGATCACATTGATCAAGGTGTGGGTTCGATCCCCGCCTCCAGAGATACTTAATAATTATCCGATTTAAACAGATCGTTATTTTACTGTAATATTTCATCAAGCAGTCATTCCAAAGCGCGTCCTTTTGACTTCAAATTTTTTTTTTTCTTTATTCATCAAAACCAAAAATTATTTCATTCTATTAAGTATACCTCATATCGAATTTTTTTAGGGGAAAAATAAAACTAATACTAATAGGAGGGTAAAAATAGGGCCGCGAAGCGGCCCATTGATGGCGCGGAGCGCCTTCGGGGGGTTGGGCCGCGTAGCGGCCAGGGGGCGTAGCCCCCTAGTATCTCACTATCAGCACTGCAACGTTGTTTCCGTTGGGCGCTTTCAGAGGCGGTCCAGTGTTCTGCCGTCCTAGAGAAAAACGCCGGATGAGCCTTCAGACGTTGCCAAATTTCTTTTACTAAAAAACCGAATTCATTGGAAAAATTCTCAATATTTTTTCTAGAATTCTTCAGATGATTTTGTTCGCAACTTGATCTAACATATTCCAAAATTTCACGGAAAAATATGCATAACTTTCCGCGAAAATTCAAGTTTTATCCGGAGAACTTTGGCAACGCTTGTATGTTCATACGGCGTTATTCCTCAGCACGGCAGTGTAAGTGTTCGTTGTAACTTATAAGGAGCTTCTTTTAAAAACAGGGAGAGACTCGATATTTAAAATGAATGGAACCATTCAAAAAATTCAAATTTTTATGGGACCAGGTCGCAATGAGGAGGGGTCCCATCAAGACCCGAGACCCAAAAAACAAAAGTACAAAAATGAGTTTTTAAGTATTTTAAATTTTGTTTATTAATTTTGAACAGTGTTGCAGTGTATTTTTAGACAGATTCTCATTTAGTTCGCACATCGCTACTTCTTCGATAAACTGTAAATTTTAACCATTGCGAGAATGATTTTTGAGAAACTGTAATGTCAATCTTCAGATCCATCTTTCAGAAATTTTGGGAAAAAGGCAGCCAAACCAAAACTATTCAAAACCTCATAATTAGTTTAAAGGCATTTTTTTTTCAAAAGTTCAATGGAGGGGCTTTGAGGACAAAACGCACAAGTGCAGCTTTTAAAAAAATTGAGATAGTAATGATTTCAAATATAACTAGTCGAAAACGTAAATGCGTATAGGTAATGAAAAATTCGTCATGAGATAAAGCATCCATGTAATTCGGAACTTTAAACTCGTATTTCTCGGAGTAACAAAAACTGCACCCTTGCGCCCTGTCCTCCAAGCCCCTCAATTATTATTTGTCTGTGTGTCCCATCGAGCGCATTTTAGGCCTTAACTTCGATCAGCAACTAAAATTGCTTACAATATTGTTTTTATATAAGCCCATGTCGAATCTTAATCACCTATACCATGCGAATTTATCCTAATTTCCTCGTTCCTCTGTCTGTGTCTGTCAATATTACCTCTTGATCTCTGTCTTGTCGTATGAAATCATCAATCGATACCAATTTATTTTAAAATTGAACAATTAGAAAAACATAAAATTCAAAAATAAAAGGAACAAGATGAGGGTTTTAATCTAAAGTAGACCACGTGTTTTCCTCCGTAAAAACATGGCGATATTAGGCACACCTAGAAGGAAAAACCATATGTAGCACAACACCACCAAGTCGTGAAAACCATGTCCTCAGCCGAGTTTGACTCGGACAGGTAACTAAACTAACTTTGCGGCAATGCGTAGAGTATCACCAAAAATGAAGGCGCTCCAAACCGAGAGCATGCTACTGAGGGACATTACTCATCACACCTTCGTTATGCCGATGCGCATTATTGCAGTTCATCGGAAAAAATGTAACCCGCTTGCAAATTGCTGATAATTGGTAATTGGACCGCGTTTAGCAGAATGGAACCAAGCCACATCAGCTATTGCCAAATTTAAGCGGGCAATTTAATTTTTTACAAGAGACCGTTTTTGCGAATTCTTTTGAAAATTTCATCGAATTTGCCTCGTAGTACATTCCTAAGCAGAAAATTCACTGAAATTCGCTCCCAAAATAATCCGCACCATCGTTTACATGTAAAAAATTAAATTGTCCAATTAAAATTGGCAATAGCTGATATGGCTTGGTTCTTATCTGCTTAACACGGTCCAATTGCTTGCAACATATCGATGACCTTAGTTTACGAAACCACGAATTTTCATTGCAGAGTTTCAGAATTTCCACTCCTAAGTATTTTATATTTTTGAAAAGAAACCTGCCAGCTTTATACCTTGAAACTACTAAATATTCTGCCAACAGAGAAGAATAACAGAGATACGTGGTTTCTCACTTTAGTCTAAGTAGGTATAGGCACAGTGCTCTTGAAGCAAAAAAAAAAATGTGACAAAAATTTACCCAAAAACGGTTGCAGGGGGTGAGTCTATGGTACGCTTGGACTTTAAATTGCGAATAATCAAAATTTTGGCTGACCCTAATTTCGAGATATCGTAATTTTAAAATTTTCATAGTAAATGCCAGTTTTCTACTGACTTTGATCCGTTTTTTTTTATTTATTTGTCCATTGAATCGGTGTTGATCGGTTCACGTTTTTATTTTCCGTTCGATTTATGTCGACCGGATACCTACATACCCTCTCGTTACATGCAGACTTCCTATCATACTCTTTTTTTTAATTGTACAATTCGCCTTCTGCTGCGTCTGCAGCAATTGTTGTTACGAATATGTTGTGCGTGCTGATTTTTGCTCATTACATACTCGACTCTCTGAAGGCGTTTTATGTGCGCAAGTATAGCACAATCTGTCGGAGAACAAACGAAGGAGGGGTTGAGCGATTAATTCAATTTCTGTTTTTCTCCAACAGGGTGCTCTACTTTTGCACATAAAACGCCTTCAGAGAGTCAAGTATGTAATGAGCAAAAATCAGCACGCACAACATATTAGTAGCGACAATTGCTGCAGACGCAGATAAAGGCGAATTTCTGTCGCACATGAAACACCTTCAGAGAGTCACATGTGTAATGAGCTAAAATCAGCATGCACAACATACTCGTAACAACAGTTAATTGCTGCAAACGCAGCAGAAGGCGAATTATTCAGTTAAAAAAAAGAGTATGATAGGAGGTCTCCATGTAACGAGAGGGTATGTATTCGATCGACATGAATCGAACGAATAATAAACACGTGAACCGATAAACACCGATTCAATGGACAAATAAATAAAAAAGCGGATCAAAATCAGTAGAAAACTTGCATTTACAATGAAAATTTTAAAATTGTGATATCTCGAAATTAGGGTTATAGCCTAAATTTTGATTTTTCGCAATTGGAAGTCCACTTGTACCATAGACCCACCCCCTGCCGACCGTTTTTGGGTACATTTTTGTCGCATTTTTTGTTTTGTTTTTGCTTTAAGACTACTACTGTGTAAGCACACATACTGTTGAAAGTTCTAGTCGCTTTTTTCACAATTTTTATTTTTCAACCACAGTTTCTTTTCGGCGATGATGAGGCTTCTTTTCGAAATCAAGTATTTGAAGCCAGTGTTTCTTGTTTATCATGATAGAAGGTTATTCTTTATTTTTAATTTAGAGGACTTTCTTTGCCGCAAAACGGAGGGGTCAAAGTCAGGATGCCGTCTAGCGTGCTTGCTGAAACAGATCATAGAAATCATGAATTAGACACGGACCGAAGCTTCATGACATATTACGATCTTAATCGAACGATTTGGAAAATGTTGATTTTTTTCAGCTGTAAAAATCAGCCAAAAGTATTCTGCCTTAAAGCAAGTAAAGTTCTATTAAGAGGTGGAGCTGATTTTGTCTCAGTTAAATAGAAACGCACCAATAAGTCGGAGCAAGTTTGAATTGTGGGACTTGGAGGAGAAGGCAAAGACAATTTTCGAAAAAATTGAGATAGTAATGATTGCAAATTGTGCCAGTCTTAATGCATATTTTGTGAAAAATTCGCTCCAAAATTTCAATTTTCATGCGTCAAAAAGTCAGTTTGAACTTTCTCTCCGCCATGAGGATCCATGTAATTTCGAAACTTCAAACGCGTATCTCTCGAAATAACAGAAACTGCACCTAGGTGCCTTGTCTTTCGAGCCCCTCAAATGAGAAAAAGAAACTTCAAGTTTTACTCCTTTGTTATTTCTTCCAATAATTCGGACAAAATTGTACAACCTTTTGTCACGTTCAAAATATTTTTGACCAAAGAGAATTTAAGTTCAATTGAATGCAAAACTGCCACCAACTAATTGTTTCCAAAAATGTGACACAGCGCATTTTTTTTCAACTCAGTCCCTTTACACTGGAAAAAAAACACATTGGATCTAGAGTCCAGACTCTTAAAAACATCGACAAGAAAAAATACTCTTGATTTAATCAGATTTAAGCTTAAATCAAGAACCAAGCCTCTTAATTTGAGCGGATTTTCTTTTGATTTAAGCTTAAATCTGATTGAATCAAGAGTCCTTTTTCTTGTCAATGTTTTTAAGAGTCTGGCGACTCGAGATCCAATGTGTTTTTTTTCCAGTAGTCTATGCTGTCCTTTTGAGTGAAATTAAAATCTAGTCAATGCCGTTTTACTGAAATTATGAGCCATAAAAAGCAGACACAGCACAATATCTTCAGTCTGAAATAATGTAGTTTTTCTAACCTCAAGTGATCACTGCGCATAAATTTTTTGTAACAAACGGGACACATAAATTGTTTTTCCCCCGTATGAGTGCGTAAATGGCGGGCTAATTCATCCGAACGAGCGAATCTCTTGACGCATCCAGTCCAGCGACAAGGGAATGGCTTTTCACCTGAAAACGGAAAGAAGAAAAGCATAATTAGATCAAATGTTTCAATCGTTGTCATTCATCGGAAGAGATAGATTTGCCGCAACTAGTCCAGTCAAGTTAGCTCTTAAAAAGGGCAATCTGGGAAAATAAATATATAGAAGGTTTCTTTGCCGATACATTTTGCAATCGGCCACCAGAAAAGCATCAAAAGTTTACCAGAATCGGCTCTTCGCTAAGGTCACCATCTTGAAAAAAGGCGTCGTAATATATCGACGGTGAAACTACCAAACCACGTATCTCGGTTTGCGACGTCGCAGACTTCCTGTCATACTTTATTTTTTAAATGAAAAACTACTTAACGTCTAGTCTTGAAAATTTACGTGATTTTTCCTCTTTGTGCGGAGAAAATTCTGTGAAAATTTCAAGGAATGATATTGATTTGGTCAACTTCAAAGAAATAAAATGCGAGCGTAGATTTTTAAACACCGCAAACGAGATACGTGGTTTGGTAGTTTCACCGTCGATATGCGTTTCACGCCGCGCCGACCATCGACCGCACTCTGTTTGGCGCAATGCGTGAAGTATTCATCCACTCTTGTAGGCGCTAATCTGCACTTTGTGCCGACCAGCGACCGCACTGCTGCACTACGTTTGACGCAATGCGTGAAGTATTCCTGCAGTCTTGTAGGCGCTCATATGCGTTTTGTGCCGACCGGCGCGCGGCGGCCGCCTATGTTTGGCGAGATTAGAAACGTGGCCAAGCCGAGACTCACCGTAGATGGCAGCCGCTATTGTAGTAGGTCGGACTGCATAGCGATCCAGGGGCGGACCCCTCATGAAGTACTAGGCACTGTTCTATTGAAAATTTTATGCTCTTCCATTTCAGTTTGAACAATTTTTCCCTCAGACTCGCCGTTTTTAAGCTAATTGCAGATTTTGTGGGAAAAACGCGATTTCAAGCAAAATTTGACTTATACAGCCACAGAGAACTATACCGCGATATCTCATAAACTAGAAGTCCCAAATTAATAAACTGGTTCTCATAGGAAATTTTGTTATTTTTTATAAAAGGTCCAATGACATTTCTCCCTCAGGATTTATTTTTTTTTAGATATGAGCGAAAACCCGGTCGCCGCTGGCGTACCTATTCTAGCCCCCCAGCCCGCCTGATTTCAAAATGGTGGCCTCAGCGGACAGGCGATTCCGCTAAAATTTAGTTATGTTGTTTCCCCCCGAATAATGATAGATTGACTGGATGGACTGAACAGTTTCGTCTGAACTTCTCTGTGAATTTCAACCACTCGTTAGAATTATCACACAACATTGCCGCGGAAAAGTCTGATTAGGTAGTTTTTTCTGAAGAAAGTACAACATAGTTGAACATTTTTAAACTTTACGAATAAGGTGCGCTTTTTTTGCATTTAGCCATCGATAAATATTGAACTGTAGAGCAAAAACGATAAAAATTCCCCCGAATTAAGAAAATTTCTGAACATTTCGTGGAATTTAAGTGGGAAGAATTGCTTTATTTCTGATGATCGAAACACCGAATCTTTAATTTTGCCGCCTGACGCAAAATAAAAAAAAATTCGCCTCTGGATTTCAAAAATGTTGATTTTTCCTCCAATTTGCAAGACAAGATGAAAGAAAAAACGAAAAAATAGTGCATTAATTTTTAAAACACTTCCATAAGTTAAGTCCCTGAAAGCTGCCATCCCCCGCGGGCTGATTCTCGAAATTGATTCACAAAGCTATACTACCGTGCTAAGGAAGAGCGCCGTATGACCATTCGAGAGTTGCCAAATTTTCCTCGATAAAATGTTCATTTTTAAGGAAAGTTATGAATATTATTCCTTTTAATTTGTAGAATCTTTAGGTGAAATTGCGCACAAAATCATCTGAAAAATTGGGAGGAAAATATTCATAAATTTACCCGGAAATTTGCGCTTTATCAAATGAAATTTGGCAACGCCTAATAGTTCATACGGCGTTTTTCCTTAGCACGGCAGTATAGACAGAGAAGACACAGGGCAAATTGATGGAAGGGAGTGGTTGCAATGGACATAGAAAACCCTGGTAAAAATTGGCGATAAGAGCAGCTGCGTTTCAAAATACCATAGGAATTCTTATAGCCGGCGAAAGAAGGCTACAGAAAATCATCTAGCTGGCTATAGAATGCGGAAAAAATCACACGGCCGGGCTATACGAAGCGATAAAAAAATATGCAGCCGGGCTATAGTTCCTATCGCTGGGCTTTACACTTTGTCACCTGGCTGTCGCTTTTTCGCCATCGATTATAAAAGGCTATAAGAAATTGTGTAGAAATTCGTGTGCTTTTGAAATCATTAAGTTTGATACGGAACCAACTTAATATTTACAAAACACACGTTATATTTCCCTTTAATACTTATTTTTTTTTTCATCAATTAAAATGAGAATAATCCATACAGGATGTGCAAAAATTTCAAAATCATGAGTTGAATAACTCTGACTCCGCGCGATTAAATATTAGAGCCTAACACAAAGCGAAGCGGCGACGCACTGGCGCCTACAAACCTAACAGGGATACTTCACGCATCGCGCAACGCGTGAAGTATCCCTGTTAGGTTTGTAGGCGCTAATGCGTGTTTCGTGCTGGCTGCCCGCCTGCCACGCAGCAGCGTGCCACGGCGCGGCGCTTGAAGCAACTATTTCACACCAGAGGTATTGCACAGTATCATACGAAACTGAAAGCGCTCTAATATATTAGTAATGGCAGGCATCCATCAAAAGCACGGAGCTTTCCTCGCAAAATAAATCAAGATACTACGGCCCACAAAGAGAGGAGTGGTCCAAAAACTCACTAAGTCCTAGTATCCGTATTTAGTAACGTTTAGCAGAAACTTTATCGTCTGGCTGTTGCTTAGTCGCCATCGGCTATAAGAAATTGTGTAGCCGGCTATAGAAGCTATCGGAAATCTTACATCCGGCCGTAGGTCTATGGTATTTTTGAACACAGATTCTACTGCCAATTTTTACCAGGGGGTAGCTGTAATAGACTAACTAACAGCAACCGACAAGTCTGCCGTGCTAAGGAAAAACGCCATATGAGTCTTCAGGCGTTGCCAGATTTCCTTTGATAAAACACGAATTTTCCAGCGAACTTATGAATACTTTCCTCTCAATTTTTAGAATAATTTTGTTCGCAATTTCACCTGAAGTTCCTGAAAATTTTAAGGAATCGTATTCACAACTTGCCTCAAAAATAAACATTTTATCGGAGGAAATTTGGCAACTCTCGAATGCTCATACGGCGTTCTTCCTTAGCGCGGCAGAAGTGACCTATAGTCTACCCATCCTTTTCTCTCTCCGTCTATCACGACCACCCGTTTCAACCAATGGGATCGCTCCATACTCCTTACGTCTTCTTCATCTACCGCTACGTCTATCATTTTCAATAATCAGCCCGCACTGGGTTCCACCTGCTCCCTTCGCTCTTTCCCAAATCCGGTCTCTTCGATGACGAATGAATTGTCCGGCGCACCCCCTCCCCCTCCCAGCTCCCCCCGGCTATGACCCGTCACGCCGCGCGCCCGCGGAACGCTGGTCACCGAAACCCTGAGACGGAACGTAACCGTGATATCGTGTATAAAATTGGCAGATTGAGTCATTGCGTTACTCCCGCGNGGGGGGGGGGGGGGGGGGGGGGGGGGGGCACGGTGGCGCCGAACCGCACGGAACGCGCTGCGAACGGTAGACGAATTAGAAACGCTTTCTACGGAAAGTGTTCCGTCACGTTGCCACTCGGTCCGCACTACCGTGCTAAGTAAAAACGCCGTATAAGCCGTCAGGCGCTGCCAAATGTCCCTCGACAAATCAAGAATTTCCAGGAATATTTGGGAATATTTATCCTCCGATTATGAAGACGATTTCGTTTGTAAATTGGATTACCTTTTGCAAAAAGAGACCAAGAGTATTCCAATGTTGCTATAAGATTGTGCAACTTACATTCTTTGCAATAGAACCACTGAAATCATGCAAAAAATTAAATTTTAGAAAGGTAATTTTCGGCAAAAATGTATAGTTTATTGGGAGTAAAGATACAACTTATTTAGGCGATTAGTTTACATTTTTTGCATGATGAAAAAAGTTGCCTAATCCTAGCGACATCGAAATGATCGTGTTTCCTTTCTGCAAATTTCAATCCAATTGATCTAAAAAGTTTGAAAATTTCAAGGAAAAATATTCGTTACTTTCTCCAAAAATAAATATTTTCTAAGAGGAAATTTGGCAACATTTGAATGTATATACGGCGTTTTCTTTTAGCGCGGCGGCGCACTGGTGTGCTCAGGATGAACGCCGTATAAGCATCTAAACGTTGCCGAATTTTCCTTGAACCTATAGTAATACAGTGCAGCATCGATTATCCGGTGTAGAGTAGCGGAGGTCCGGATAACGAAAATAATGAGTTATCGAAACCACCCAGAAAAGACTGAGTAAATGTCATTTCAGGCTCTGTTTGTAACCTACCCAAGCAGCACGGTGCAATGAAAACATTGAAATTAAATTTCATCGGTTTTGATAGACGGGCTTAAATGCAATAAAATCATGAGCCCTGGCTTTCGTTTATCGCGCAAGGCGCTCGGGCTTATGAGTTTTCGGACTTTCGCCAGTCTAACAGAAACCGATTTAATTGTGATTCAATACGATAGAATTGCAATTTTTTACCACGAAATTGCAATGTTTTTACATCATTTGGTTGATAAATGCCGATTTTAAACAACCAACAAAGTGAGCCCCATGTTAGAGAAAGGTAGGCAATTTCCAATGCAATGAGAATTGCAATTTATTTCAACGTGAATGTTGAAGCCCCGAAAGTAAAAGCTTCCACCATTGCAAAGATAACGCAGTGGAGGGTATATTGTCTCAATTCATAACATAAGCACTTCAGAGCTGAGCTGCGATGTTGGATAAAACTTTATTACAATACGATAAATTATTGGAGTCTTCACTTATGAAATAACGCAGCCATGCTCAAGGAGTTTGTCATAGGATGTAAAATTCCAGAATTATTCATGTGAAACACGAAAAGGGGCTGTACTGCCGTGCTAAGGAGAAACGCCGTATGAGCCTATAGACGTTCCCAGATTTTCTTTACCAAAAAACCGATTCTATTGGAAATTTTGAATATTTTTTCCCGTATTTTTCAAATAATTTTGTTCACAACTTGATCCAACAAATCTCAAAATTTCACGGAAAAATATGCGTAACTTTCCTCAAAAATACAAGTTTTATCCGGAGAACTTTGGCAACTCTCGAATGTTCATACCGCGTTTTTCCTTAGCACGGCAGTATAGAGTAACTTCATGTGGAATTCCAATCACGGCTTGGAGACTTCAACGCATGGCCAGAAAAGTAGGGATCGGAAACATTATTTGGATCGCATATAGCAAAAAGAACCCAGCGCGATCACAGGGTTTTCAATATCGCACAACTTCTTCTTTCCTTTTAAAACTTCTCAATATGTGCGCGGTATTAAAATTTACACGATTATTTTCCTTTGAAATTAACAATTTTTTGGTGGGAAGCAAAAAATGTTTGCTATTCCGAGAGATTTCTTGGATAATTATGAAGATGCAACATTTTTACAACACTGTAATCGCGCTGGTTACTTTTTGCTAAATGCGATCCATATGGAATTCCAATCACGGCTTAGAGACTTTAACGCATGGCCAGAAAAGTAGGGATCGGAAACATTATTTGGATCGCATTTAGTCAAAAGGAACCGGCGCGATTACAGGGTTTTCAATATCGCGCGACTTCTTCTTTCCTTTTAAAACTTCTCAATATGTGCGCGGTATTAAAATTTACACAATTATTTTCCTTTGAAACTGACAATTGTTTGATGAGAAGCAAATAATATTGGCTCTGAGAGATTTTTTGGATAATTATGAAGATGCAACATTTTTACAACACAGTAATCGCGCTGGTCCCATTTTGCTAAATTCGATCCATTTTAGATTCAATACACATGTTTGCTTTTGAAAAAATGATAGGTATGAAGATTTGAAAGCAGTTTGTTTTTTTCTATTCGCATGTATTTTCAGCGCTGAGTTCCCTAATTGATCTCAGTTTTTCTGCCTCACCCGTCAGTTTGTCAAAAAATCGAGATTTTCCTCCAAAAATAAGCTTTTCCGAGGATACCTCAGTAAATGCTTATGGAAAAATTGGTGCATGATAATGAGATATCAATTGTTTCCGACCTTGACCAAAGCAGTATAATAATGAACAATGCGCCTTGGCGTTCTGCGACACCCAAACGCCACATGTGTTTTTCTACCCAGAGGTCATCGGGCAACTAACAACGCAACATCCCTTCGTCAACGCCCTGCCGCCATCCCTTCATGGGACGTCCCCTTTTCTCAAGTGATACCCAATCCAAAACTTGTTTGGGCAACCTCTCCTCAGACATTCTTTACACAAGTCCAGTAATCGCAACTCACCTTTGAGTTTCAGGAGTCATCTGGCCCACCAAGCTCGATTTTTAGGGGCCATCGAAGATCTTTTAGGGCCAAATCGACTTTTTGCCTATATATCACGGCGTATTTAGTGAAAAGTCAGAATCCGGTGCCGTGCGTCGAAATTTCGAAAATCACCAAACAGAAAAATTAGGATTTGTTTTGGGAAGGGGGGGGGGGATCTCAGGGGCCACGTAGGCGCTGAGCCTTCATTTTTTAGGAGCATTCGGCGCGTTGATGCCTGTGAGTTTCGAACCCTGCACAAGTGCACATGTCCACGCCACAGTTTTTTTATCACCTTCAATACTGCCGTGCTAAGGAAAAACGCCGTATGTTGAGAGTTGCCAAATTTCCTTAGATAAAACATGGGTTTTTGAGGAAAGTTATTCTCGAAAGTTATAGTTCGTTGAGTTAAGTATTTCTCTTTGAAATTTTCACATATTTTAGATCAAATTGCGAACAAAATTATCTGAAAAATTTGAAGATAAATGTTCGCAATTTTCCAAGAAAATTCTGTTTTTATTGAAGTAAATCTGGCAGCGTCTGACGGCTCATACGGCGTTTCCATAGCGCAGCACACGGAGAAAAAAAACTTCGGGCGTGGGACCCGAAGTTGAGGTCATATGGATCTCTGAAGCTTTCGGATCACGTATCTAAAAACTTGAGGTCGAGCTGCCGAAGTTCGGGTCAGACATCGAAGCACTTCGGTATGTACCGGAGTACCTACTTCAGATGTGTGACCCGAACCCTTCGTTACATATCGAAGTACTTCAGATGCCTGACCCGAACTTCGGCAGCTGGACCTCAAGTTTTTAGATACGTGATCCGAAAACTTCAGAGATCCATAAGACCTGAACTTCGGGTCCCACGCACGAAGTTTTTTTCTCCGTGTGCTGTGCTAAGGAAACGTCGTATGAGCCGTCAGACGCTGCCAGATTTACTTCAATAAAAACAGAATTTTCTTGGAAAATTGCGAACATTTATCTTCAATTTTTCAGATAATTTTGTTCGCAATTTGATCTAAAATATGTGAAAATTTCAAAGAGAAATACAAATAACTTTCCTCAAAAATCCATGTTTTATCTTAGGAAATTTGGCAACTCTCAACATACGACGTTTTTCCGCACGAGGTTTTTTTCTCCGTGCAGAATAATCATCCGGCAGGGTCCGAATAATCCTGGAAGTAAACGACTCACCCGTATGTGTCCTTAAATGGGCCTTGAGGTGGGAGCGTTTTCCGTATGCCTTGCCGCACCCCGGCTGATGACACTCGTGCGCCTTGCGGAGCTTCTGGTCGGACTCGGAGATGCTGATGACTTTGTCCGACCTGTTGATGACTTTGTCCGACATGCTGATGACGCTCTCGAGGACGAGCCGGGCCTTCTTACTCCCGCGCCGCGCCTCCTGCTCCCTCCTCCTTGGAGGGGCCGACCCCGACTGATGCCGCTTCTCGGACAGGTTCGCCAGGATCCGGGCCACCACGAAGAGGGGCTCTTCCAGGGGGTGCTTCAGCCGGGGTTTCGGGGTCCGCCGAGCAGGGGATCCTCTCGTCGAGGGGTCGCTCGACACTGTGAGCCGGTTTCGCGACATGGCCAGCAGGCACTGCGCCGCTAGGTTTATTTCGTGGTCCATTTTACCAGCTGTCGTCTTGCCCGAGAGAGGAAATCTTCCAAATCCGATTTCCTTCAAAATTCCTTTTATTTAACTCGAATGAACTCACCGTTTCTACTGTAACAGAAAAAACATTCCTCTTATCTCAAAGTCTCAGTACAGTATCCAAAAGTTTAGATTTCCGTTGTATTGAAAGCATCCCTGGTAAAAATTGGCAGTAGAATCTGTGTTTCAAAATACCATAGACCTAAGGCCGGCTGTAAGATTTCCAATAGCTTCTGTAGCCGGCTGTACAATTTCGTATTGCCTTTTATAGCCGATGGCGATTAAGCAACAGCCAGACGATGAAGTTTATGCTAAACGTTACTAAATACGGATACTAGGACTTGGTTAGTTTGCGGACTACCGCTCTCTGTTTGTGCCGTAATATCTTTGATTTATTTTGCAAGGAAAGCTGCGTACCTTTGAAGGATGCCTGTCGTTCTTAATATGTTGGAGCGCCTTCAATTTCTTATGATACTGTGCAATACCTCTGGTGTGAAATAGTTGCTTCAGACGCCGTGGCATGCTGCGGCGCGGCGTGCGGGCAGAGAGTACGTGCGAAACGCGCATTGGCGCCTACAAACCTAACAGGGATACTTCACACATTGCGCAATGCGTGAAGTATCCCTGTTAGGTTTGTAGGCGCCAGTGCGTCGTCGCCGCTCCGCTTTGTGTTAGGCTCTAATATTTAATCTCGCGGAGTCGGCGTTTTTCAACTCATGATTTTGAAATTTTTGCACATCCTGCATGGATTATTCTCGTTTTAATTGATGAAAAAAAAATATGTAACAAAGGAAAATATAACGTGTGTTTTGTAAATATTAAGGTGGTTCCGTATCAAACTTAATGATTTCCAAAGCATACGAATTTCTACACAATTTCTTATAGTCTTTTATAATCGATGGCGATAAAGTGTAAAGCCCAGCGATAGGAACTATAGCCCGGCTGCATAATTTTTTATCGCTTCGTATAGCCCGGCCGTATGATTTTCTCCGCATTCTACAGCCAGCTATATGATTTTCAATAGCCTTCTTTAGCCGGCTATAAGATTTCCTATGGTATTTTGAAACGCAGCTCTTATCGCCAATTTTTACCAGGGTAAGGGGGGTCCGGAGGGCTTCCTTCAACAAATTTTGGAAGGGGGAGGGGTCCTCTTATACTTATCTATATCTTGTAGTCCATTAATTCTTACCCTGTTTAACAAATAGGAAAAAACACCAAAAATGTAGTCCGAGCTATACTTAACAAAGTGGTAAAATTAGAGCTCGCCAATTTTCGACCCGTACGATATTTTTAGAATTTTTTGACCGTGCTATCCCCGCAAAATAGTGTGGATACAGTACTATCTTACCGCCTTGTTCTAGCAATTAAGTAGGTATCTAGTTCAGTACATTTTCAGGATGCTCTTTACGAACTTAGACGAGGTAGGTAACATTAGGGGCTTCGAGGACAAGGTGCGTAGGTGCGCATGTTATTGAAAAAAATTGAGATACTAATGATATCAAGTAAACTAAACTAAATCTAATACATATTCTGCGAAAAACTCGCTCCCAAATTCCAATTTTTAAGCATCAAAAAGTCAGTTTGAACTTTCTTCCCGCTATTTAATGATCCATGTAATTTCGAAACTTCGAACTCGCATTTCTTGAAACTATGCACTTACGCGCCTTGTCCTCCGAGCTCCTCACATGTAATCACTCAAGAGCTGATTTTCTTACACCAAGCATTGGTCCGTTCAAGAGCGCGAACTTGAATATCAATCCCGCACGAACTTAACTACAGTAGACTCGCGCACGACACGCGCTTGCGTAGTACGAGAGTTGGGATGCGTTCTTTGGCGCGGAAATCGAAAGGAGACGGAGGCGTGTCTGTCATCGATGCCGACAGCCTCAAACTGACGGCGACCAGCGAAGTTATTAGCGTCCAAGTCGGCGGCTTTCCACTCGGTTTCCACCGACCGACCGACGTCTTCGACGAAAACCGCGCAACTGCACGGGATAAGCGCTCGAGGTAAGCGTTTCTAGCCGCCTGGGTGCGCGCGCGCAGGAGCTATGATAGCGTTTTTCAGCGGTTGCCCCCGTTTTCTCTCGGATCGGAGGACTGTCTCTGAGACTCGATGCCATGTCGGCGGCCAAACCGAAAAAACCGCGTATCTTGTGTCTGGTGTTTCAAAACCTACGCTCCTACTCTGTCGTGCTAGGGAAGAACACCGTATGAACATTCGAGAGTTGCCAAATTTCCGTCGATAAAATGTTCATTTTTGAGGAAAGTTACGAATATTTTTCCTTGGAATTTTCAGAAACTTTAGGTGAAATTGAGAGCAAAAGGATCTGGAAAATGGGAAAGAAAATATTCATAAGTTCTACGGCAAATTCGTGTTTTATCAAAGGAAATTTGGCAACGCCTAAAGGTTCACGCGGCGTTTTTCCTTAGCACGGCAGTACTCTGGAACCGAAAAGGGCAGCGTGCATGAAGGCTTTTTCAATCTTAATCTTCCGTCACATTCTTACGGCGCAATGATACAACTATTTGAACTCTCCGGAAAGCGTGAGGTATCACGCCGCATTTGAAGGCGTTTTCAAAACAGCCAAGTTCCGATACCCGGATTATCGTTTTGATAGTTCATATTATTTTGTTTTCATTTCTAACCACTTGTTTATTTATAATCTTCCTATAAAAACCACCCATTTTGCTAAATACTATTCTAGCTAGAGCACAATTCTGCCATGCTTTCACCACTGCAAAAATGTAAACAGAAATCGAAAAGGCCAGCGTTCATGAAGGCTATTCCCATTTTAATCTTCCGTCACATTCTTACGGCGCAATGTTACAACTATTTGAACTCTCCGGAAAGCGTGAGGTATCACGCCGCATTTGAAGGCGTTTTCAAAACAGCCAAGTTCCGATACCCGGATTATCGTTTTGCATAGTTCATATTATTTTGTTTTCATTTCTAACCACTTGTTTATTTATAATCCTCCTATAAAAATTACCTATTTGCTATATACACTTGTATCTGAAGCTCTTTTAAGCTATGAATTCATGACTGCAAAAATGTAAACGGAAATCGAAAAGGCCAGCGTGCATGAAGGCTTTTTCAATCTTAATCTTCCGTCACATTCTTACGGCGCAATGATACAACTATTTAAACTCTCCGGAAAGCGTGAGGTATCACGCCGTATTTGAAGGCGTTTTCAAAACAGCCAAGTTCCGATACCCGGATTATCGTTTTGCATAGTTCATATTATTATGTTTTCATTTCTAACCACTTGTTTATTTATAATCTTCCTATAAAAACCACCCATTTGCTAAATACTATTCTAGCTAGAGCACAATTCTTCCATGCATTCACCACAGCAAAAATGTAAACGGAAATCGAAAAGGCCAGCGTTCATGAAGGCTATTCCCATTTTAATCTTCCGTCACATTCTTACGGCGCAATTCATTCACCATATATAATTCCGTAAGCCTTTTCTTTGCGTCAAAATTCAGCGCGAACCGCCGGGCCGATCCGTGCGCGGGTGGTACCGGCTCGACCGTCCCGGTCCCCCGACGGCGGGAAAAATATAGGGATCGGCCGGCGTGCCCGGCCCCCCTCGCCCCCTCGGGAAAAACGGTTGTCACGTTGGTCCCGTCGGGAGATGCTCGGTTTTTCCTTTTTCCCGTCCCATTTTTCTTCGGTCGATGACTCGGCTGCCCGGTTCGTTCGTTTCCCTGGAAATGGCCGTGGATGATGGATTTACTGCGGAAGCGTAGTGCACCGTCGACCTTCGTTGTCTCGCAATTTTTTTGTCTTCAGTCATGGAGAATCCGTGTTCAAAGCGTGTTCCGTTTCAATGCAAAACAATTTAAAGCCGTAAATTTGGATTGTTTCTCATGGAAGAGATGAATTAAGAATAGAAATTTTGAAACAGTGCAATGGAGATACGTGATCTCGCACTTCAGTCCGTGCGATAAGGACATCCATCAAGTTTAATAAAATGCATCAAGTCCCCGTCACCGCCGACCAACGCGTTTGTCGATCGAATCAACTACAGGTATTTTGCGTAGGAGGTCAAAACGCCTTCAATTTTTTGAACGCAATACGGACATCCGTCGAGGTTGTATAGTTGTATCAAGGCGCCGTAGCTGTAGCAAACGCGTCCCATTGTTTATCGTTACATACGAATATAAGTTGAGAGAGGCCAGTCATAATGCCTTCAATTTTATACATACATATTTTTGGGCAAAATGAGAGACGACGATTCTCCTTTTGCGACGTTGCAGACTTCCTTAGAAATTTTATTTTTCTTTCGAGAAGCTGGTCAACATAAAACTTGAATTCTCCATGATTTTTCGTATTCCATAGCAGAAGATTTGGTTCATAATTTATAGTCGTAAATTTGGATTGTTTCTCATGGAAGAGAAAAATTAAGAACGGAAAATTTGCAACATCGCAATGGAGATACGTGGTTTTGCACTTCAGTCGGTGCGATACGGACATCCATCAAGTTTAAAGAAATGCATCAAGTCCCCGTCACCACCGACCAACGCGTTTGTCGATCGAATCAACTACAGGTATTATGCGTAGGAGGTCAAAATGCCTTCAATTTTTTGAACGCAATACGGACATCCGTTGAGGTTGTATGGTTGTATCACGGCGCCGTAGCAAATGGTTATCGTTACATATGAATATAAGTTGAGAGAGGACAGTCATAATGCCTTCAATTTTATACATACATATTTTTGGGCAAAATGAGAGACGACGTTTCTCCTTTTGCGATGTTGCAGACTTCCTTAGAAATTTTATTTTTCTTTGAGAAGCTGGTCAACATAAACATTAAATTCCCCATGATTTTTCGTATTCGATAGCAGAAGATTTGGTTCAAAATTATATGAGCTTTGGAAGCAGACAGAGATGCAAAAGCCACACAACTGTTGTACCTCAAAATGTTGGTCATGAAAATGGGTTTGGAGAAGAGGTCGTGAAGTTGGTCTTTGATTTCAGGCTCGGCAAGTCTGAGAAGACCATTATGACAACATCTGTTAAAATGGCCGTTCACCTCCTCTTTTTTGAAATGCAAGGCATCACAGTACTGGCACTTCACATTTAAAAGTCCGAAATTATTTTCCTGAATAATTTAATTTTTCCAGATTATAAATTTAAATTGTTATTAAATGATGAAAAATTCAAAATTCCAATTTCAATTTCCAAAATTTCAGAGCATGTTATATCTTCTTTCAAAATTTATTGTCAATTCAAGTTGCTATTCAATTATAATAAATAACTTGAACGTGGTTATTCAAGAGTTGCTGACAGAGCGGAAAAATCAAAGGAAGTTTTCAAGAAATTACGTTGGCTAGTTTTCCTAAGAAGTAATAAAGGATGACAAGAAGTTTGCAATGCCACAAACAGTGATACATGGTTTCACACCTGGGCCATCGCCATGCACCCTGCATCTTCTGAGCAGTAAGAGCTATACCTTATACGGCAAAAATGTTTCCGACTGACAAAAAATTAGATTGTTAGTATTCCTGAACTTCTAAAAGTAACAGAGTGTCCTAATTACTTTGTTCAATGTATGAAGAATGTGAGGGAAAAATAAAATACAGATAAATTTGTTATGAGTCAATTTTTTATACGAACATATTAGAAAAACAGCCGAGTATTAATAGTATTACAAAACAGAAAGGAAAAAAAGGACAAAAAGAAAAAGAAAAAACTTTACAAAACAACTGTAACAAATATAACAAATGGAACTTAACGGATATTTACAACTTATTGTTTGTTCATTAGCTTTGAAAGGATCAGTTGATGATATTTTTGAATATGATTACTTAGAGAAAAAATACTGATTTTAGGCGCATACCCGATTCATTCTTTCAACACAGAATACGCGGGCACGCAAGGGAGGAATTTAAGTTGCCATTAGGACTAATGAATGGCTCAAATCTCAACATACAAGGAAACTTGTTTGATCAAACTTCTTATGACGTTAAATTTTACACATCGATAGATATTTGCGAAAAAAGTTCATCTCATTAGGAACGTTTAAAAAGCTTTGATTAAGTTGTATTTTCTTCAGGAAAACTAATTGGAATGTCTCTTTCCAATAGGCCTGTTGCAAACTTTTGTTAAAACAAAAATAAGAGTTGTAACTCATAGAAAGTGTCTCAAAAATCTCGATGAGCGCATTGGTAAAGTCTAAAATGCTCTCCTTACTTCACAATTTGCATAAGAAATTTGCGTTTTTTCGAGCTTCCCACTTCAAAAACGATACCACTGCACAGGTGAACATTCCGTAAGAGGAGTCATTCCATCCAACCCCTGCTCACAAGGACACTACGCAATATTCAACATAGCCGACGCCAATCTGCCAAAACACATGTGACAGGATGATGATTCTAACCACCTGATAACAATCTGTGTATTTACATTCACATTTTTCTTGCGCTGATAGTATCCGCCTTGATTGACCTCGTGCTCTCCTCAACTTGCGCGTGGAAACATTGGCCACGTTGAGCAGGGATTGAATGGAACGACTCCTCTAACAAAATGTTTACCTGTGCTGTAGTATCCTTTTTGAAGCAGGAAGCTTGAAAAAACGCAAATTTCTTAAGCAGATTGTGAAGTTAGAGGTGCATTTCAGAGTTTGCCGACGCGCTCATTGTGATTCTTGAGACAGTATCTATAAGAAACAACTCTTATTTTTGCTCTGGCAAAAGTTTGCAACAGGCCCATTCCGTGCACGTTTTTCAGGAAAAGAGAGGAATATTCACAGGTGATTTCATTAGACACTGTGCACTGACATACAGTTTTCCTATAAAAAAATGTAACAAGAGTGGAAACTTATAACGTTGCAATCTGAAATGCACATTTACCTATCGATACGATAGTTCTTAAAAAGAACTGAGAGGAATGCTTATCTGGGACACCTATCAGCAAACACAGCACTGGATAGATACCCAGAGTCATTCACTGGCTTTCAAATGAACTGTTGATTACTTGTGATCAAGAGTGTGTTGATTCACAATACCCATTTTTGACAGACGGATTTATGGCGTAAAATATGAGCAGAGTTAAGTAAAAGGAAACAAGACTTGTTGGTGGAAGAACATTAAGGCGCTAGCACGAATTTCATGAATTTCTCGTCTACATCCTCATTGAGGACATTTTCAGACTTAGCATTTGAATTTGAATAGTTAGTAAGTTATTCTTGTATTTTGTGGCAAGAATTTTGGATTGGATCAAAAAATGATTTTCTTATTTATTTAATGAGTTCCATTAATTGCTTGTCCTCGCCTGTGCATTATAAAAAGAAAGATATTCAATTACAAAAGGGTATGCTAACTGATCAGTCAGGTCTTTAATGGTGGTTCTAAAGTTGAACTTCATGAATGAAAAGGAACCAAGGACAAATGGATTAACATTGCCTCTAATCTATCACTATCTTTCGTGAAGGATTCTACCAATTGACTAATGAGGACTTTCTCTTTCCCAAACTACATACTTTCTTTCTACCTTTCTTTTTTGCTACACACTACCCTTATGAGGTTTTTTAATAATCTTTTTTCACTCAACTTCTTAAGACTGCAATCAAAAGAGTGCTACTTTCATCAATGGACAGCATTTTCCGTGGGTAACTTACTTAATTTGCCTGTTGACAATCAACCAAAAAATACTACTTTCTAGACACTCCAGTTTTTAATCAATCGACCGATCCTTAAAACTATTGAATGCCAAAAATTCAAATACTTGTTTCTACTTTTTTCAAATTCCACATGAAGAATCATATGAAATCAAATCATGACACTAAGATTTTTTGCTGACCAGACAGTTCCTCTGACTTTGCAAGGGATGACTGACAAAAAACAAAAGAAAGAGAGAGAGAAAATTGCAAAATTGTCATTATAAAAATTACATAAAATTTTGTACATTATACACATCAGACTTAAATTCAGCAAAAAAATTTCTTAGATGTACGTATCAAACTTACATACCTACAAATCAAAAAAGATTGATCTTAAATGAATATAAAAGTTGAACTTGGAGGATGATAGGTCGAAAATGAAAATATGAGACATCCAATGTTTTCTTTTCTCTCCAAAACATTTTTCATTCACACCGCAAAAAAGTGCCTATACGAGACTGAAAAATTTAATGCCAAAATGATGGGATAACAGTGTACTCAGTAGACAAATTACCAACAGAGTATAAAATAAAAATTAATTGATGATTCAAGGAGAAATAACAAATGCTTATTCGTCATTATCTAAATCATAAGCTCTCACATTGACGAGACCTTTGAGGGAAAGTGGAAGAAATTATGCACTGACAGATTCTACGACAAGTAGAAAATCTAATGTTAAAATGATGAGACAGCAGTGGAATAGGAAATTTTACGGATGACTTCAACTTCAGAGTATTAAAAATCTTTGAAAAATTGGAGAATCAAACTAAAACCCTCCAAAACTAAGACAATTTGGAGTAATTTATCAAAATGCCAAGAGCAGGTTTACTGCAGTTTACTGTTAAAATAAAAAAGAGAAGAGGCATAAAAAAGTAAGAGCCAATGTTTATTAATAAAACTACAAAGGTTCATAGAATTAATGCAAAATAAAAGAAGAACACCATTACGCTTAAAAAGTCACAGAGAGTCGAGTCATTTGTGAAAGAGGGCTGTTCAAGTAATACTTGAGATACTAGAAAGGGAGGGGATGTCGTGTCTGAGCTTGGCTTAAGGGGTCTCACTAGGAGGTAAGGGCTCAGGTTCAGGTTTCCGTAAGCCTTACATTCAAAAAAAATATTTTCCGATAAAAATAATTTTTGTCAGCAGTTCTTCAGGTTTTCTGCGTTATTTGTTGGAGAAATTTGAGGGAGGAAGTCAAGCCAAGCTTGCAGATTTAAAAGGGTGGGGGGGGGGGATGAGAGATTGGCTAAAAGATGGATTATGGAAGAGAAAGGGGTCAAAAAGTTAGCAAAATTGTTTAAAAATGTATAAATGTAAACACATGTTACTCGAAACGGAACAATAATGGAAACTTTAAAGGAATGAAATGAAAAATGAATAATGATTCATGTGGGCTGAAGTTGAAGTTAAGGTTAGCACAGAGATTTATAAGAGGTAAAGAGATAGGCAATATTCTTCAAAAGGGTAGTATAAAACAGACAGAGAAAAAATCAGCTCATCAGTCGGTCATTAAAAGTTTTTAAGCTACCTATATGGCACATGATTTGGTAGGAAAATGGGACTCAAAATTTAGTACAAACAGTAGATTGTAAATGAACGAAAACTGTACATACAAAATACATACATTAAACTAGGCAAGTATACATATTTTTAAATATTTATAGATAAAAACTTGAAACTACATTTGACTAAGTTACAGGTAATGGATAAAAACAATGTACAAATGAAAATGTATTAGATTTGGATACATAAATTTCAACTATGCAATTCGTTTATATTGAAAGGTAAGACCTACGCACTAGATTATTGATTATTTTCCTTAAGACAACAAGAAATTGGTATTTGTGTTTGCTTTTTATAATTTCTAACAATAGGTTTCCTTGGTTCATGAATAATCAAGACATTTAGAGCTAGCTATATGATAGTTAAATTATTGACTAGAGCCCGATAAAAAATCCGGACTTATCTATTGAAACACATATCAACTTTTGATAAATACAGAAATTTTAGAAATTTAAAATTAATGTATAAAAATGCCTGAATAGGTAACAATATGAATACATTATAACAATAATAACAAGTATGTTGTTGCAATGCATACTCTCTATTAAGTACACTGAGGTAAAAATAAATAACAGTTTCATATACTTATGTTCACGGAGGAAAAACAGGGGGAAAATTTTTTTGAAATTAGTTACAGAAAAATCTAACCATTGACAAATGGTTGATCTGATTGATATAAAAAGACGGTGCGGGGAAAAAAAAGAATTTTAATAAAGATAGCAATCAGGATACAAGAAATATAATGCAGCCAACTAGAACGGAAGTTCTAATAAAAACGAAAAAAAATATGAGACAATTAGGGTACATTAGTACTTAATATTTATTAGAGATGACTTAGTGATTAAATTTGATTAGAAAAAGATTTCAATTCTTACCTACTCATTACCACCGTTTGGAGATTTGATAACTTTTGACTTAGAGTTAATTTCCTTTATCTCATGATTCAGAGCAAATAGAGATCGGTAAGCCCTGTCTTGTTAGTGGAGGATCCGGATGTGACAGAGGCACTTCTTATATGTAACATTCACCCAGTTTAGGCGACATTTTGTCTTTTTTGATATAAAACATACTTATAAATGAATGGGAAAAATTATTTAACATTTTGACTTCTATTAACTATTAATCTAAGAATCAATAAAAAGTAGCACAGTCTTGAAAGTGTTGTATCTAAAAAGTCTCAATGTAATATCCAGGTCCTCACTAAACTACGATTACTATTGGAAAACACGCCAAAATATGCCCATAAAATAATACACTGACACAATGCGCAGATTATTGTGTGGCACTACTATATCTTCGACTATGAAGACAGGTTATTGGGCTCAATACAGCATTATGCCTACAAATGCTTTCTTTAAAGTTTTCTTGACATTGAGATTTTTAACATGATGGTTACTCACAGGAACACTTTCAGCGTTGGGACCAGGTGGCCGCCAAGTTATTATGAACAGAATAACAATGGGGAGGGGAATAAGTAGGAGGCATACTATGATGATTATATATTAGGTAAATTATAATGTCTCATCGCAAGATATAAAAAAATCCTGTTTCCCTTAACCCATCAGTATTTGTTTGATTATGACAAACAAAATGTAAAAAATCAAAATCCGTACTTAAATTATTCCAAAACTAGCTGCCTTCAAAATAAGGCAAACAAAGGAAAAGACAAGGAAACTGTTTTGAACTTAATACCTCAAAGGGTACTAAAAGTCGATTTAAATGGACTCTCCGTTGATAAAAAAAAAAAAAAAAAAAAAAAAAAAAAAAAAAAAAAACTTAAGCCAGAGAGAGGTCACTGTAAAAAATTAAGCTTTAGTCAATTATTCACTTTCACTGTTAATGGAATGATTTGCGGTTAAAATTAGGATACTGACTATAGACTTGTACACGAAAAGAATTTCAATTCAATACCTTGTATACAAAAAAAGAGCTTTGGAACTGGAAAGACTTCAATATTTTCTTGCATAGCCTAATGTGCTTTTCATGCTCACTGGGGACTCTGAAGATTACTTCATCACTACTCTGACTTCAAGATATCAACCTTCGGTGAACTTTTAAAAGAGAAAGTTAAAGCTTGAGAAATAATTTTTTTATTTGACAAAGGATCGCTAGACAACGTACGAATTTAAGCATTTTAATAAGAGTTTCTTCTTCAAAATTTACAAACATGATTTGGACAGTAAGTTCGAATTTTTGTTATAATTCAGGGGTTGAAAGTTACTAAAATAACGTTCTTACTTAACATTTGTTATGAAGAATTTAAATTTCCTTCTCACAAAAAAAAAAGGCAGAGAATACTTAAGTTAAATTGCGCATTATGTGTGTTTCTTCCCCACTGTGTGTTCTCCAAAGTGTATTCAAAAAGGCTTAGCCAAAGAGCCAATATTGAGGTTGTCATATTTACATACTGCAAAGACTGTCACAGTTACATTTGGTATGCAATTCAACTCAAGTAGATCATATTCTTTTTTTCATGAGCAAGATGTTTGGATTCATGAGTTGAAAAAACTTTGGTACCTTCGTTAAGAGTTATTATTAATAATTTCCGTTTTACAAATCGTCTTCTGCATGAAATAATGAGAAAACATACATTAAAATACTTGAATTCGCACCTTGTATAACAGACCATTTTAGCTACTTTCCTTAAATGGCTTGTAATAATGTCCCTTTGAGGTCATTTGTTACGGTTTCTGACGTGGTCAAACTAACATGCAAGATACCACATTGATTAAGTAGAATCTCAGCAGATTTTAAATTTTTAGCCAAACAAAGAACAATAACCCATGCGCATGAGCCTAAGCAATCATTCTAAACCACAACATTGGCAAAATTCAGAGAAATGAAAGCAGGATCCTTTTTGGAAAAAACCTCGCAGTAGATATAGTTATCGATTTCTGTATCGAATACAAGGTTTTTTTCCAAAACGGATCCTGCTTTCACTTCTCTATATTTTGCCAATTTTTTGGTTTAGCATGATTTTTTAGGCTCATGCGCAGGGGCACTTGTTCTTTTTTCAGCTAAAAATTTAAAATGTGCTGAGATTTTTTACTTATTCAATGCGATACATTGCACGCCAGTTCGACCACACCAGAAACCTTGACAAATCACCTTGATTGGATCGTAAAATGTTAGTTATCAACTATTCAGAGATTTGTCAAGAGAAGTAAAAACAACAGTCTGAGAAAAATTAATTAACAATTTTTTCAAGGGTCAGAGGGAAAAGCTGATGAATGAATGGAAAAGAGTAAGTTTTCAGCGATATCACAGTCAACTCCTCATTTTGAAACTTAGAAAAAAAAGCGATAAAAAGACCACTGAAGATGGTAGCACATTGCTGATATTCCACAGAAGAGACAATATTCAAACTAATAAAAATTTCATCACAACCTTTAAATTTTTAGTTGGCCTCATCATTGCTTCTTAATGAACGACATTGATAATGTATGAGAATGCTGTAGCTTGAGAAGAATTTAAAAAAAAAAAAAAAAAAATTCACCTAACTTTCAACAGCGTTGATTGAAAGACGAAACAAACCGGGGAATTTTGAGCTACAGCTCTGTCATAAAATGAGACTCGGCGATATGCATATCTTCCCATCATACAAGGAAGTAAGGTAAATTATCACCAAACAACTTTATTGATCTCCCTGGTCTTAAAAAAGAGATCAAAGTTGTACGGCTAGCATTACCTTGACTGAAGATCAAAAACTGAAAATAAATATCGAATCAACTTCTGATCTCCTCTACGTTCGACTTCATGTCAGACAGGATTTCCAACGAAAAACAAACTAATCACAAAATTATGATGCGAGAGCAGTCCTGGAGTCGCCAGGGGCGTAATATCAAGATTTGTCATTAGGATGTCTCTCCATTGCGATTGATACAAGACGATTAAATTCATTTTCTAGCACCTGGCGAACCTGTAACCACAACAAAAGAAACTATTAATCACCAATTTCATTGGAATTTCACCAAAAGGAAGTTTTGTCCCCTTACATAATTACTTTCCCAACTTCATTAGATACTACAATGAGACCTCCATCAATTCATTTCATAGGACTGACGAATCAATCCATTAAATAGCAGAATCCATTAAATAGTGATCTAATAGATTGAGGTCATACGGTCTGAAATTCCTGATATCTCTTTTAACTTGTTCTGAGCCAGCGAGCTGATTTTTGAAACTATTTCTTGCAATGTTGCTAAGGTAAATCAAGACATGGCCTTTCAGAATATTTTTTCCCATTGACACGAAAGCGATAAGGTATATAAATTCTGGAGCTACAGAATTTGATCCCAGATAAAAGTAGGGTTAGGTAAAATGCCTTGGATGCGACTTATCAGGAGTAATTGCCCTTAGTAGTTGTAGATATCCCTCTACTGAGCTTCTTTAGCTTTGTGAGATTTCAGCAACGCAACATAGTGTTTTTTTTTTTTTTTAAAGTAGCACTGGAGAATCACCTTAAAATTCTAGGATTAGTTACCTGAGTATTCTGCGTTGGTATCTGAAGTGCCAAAGCCATACTGTTGTAATCGAAGCTTTCATCTAATGCTATCAAGGCTCCATGGACACCAGATTCAAGTAAGTTATTCGCATACTCCTGAAAAATACAATAAATGGTGTCATGACAGGGCATAAAGCAGGGCAAACGATGACTGGTTATTTCGGACTAGGGCTGTTTTATCCGTTGTCAGTAAGCTACCGAAACAGTTCCGTCAAGAAAGTTACGATAAGAGTCCTCTTACCGATAGCGATCTGAGTTTTCAGAGCTGACGAAAATGAGCTGTTGCAGTTTCTACATCTGTTACGTGCCGCCGCGCCAGGCGATTTGACAAACTGACACATGGGGCAACAATGCATTGAGTGCAAGCTCCTAAAACTCCGATAAGGCTGGCTGTTAACGCTATCATGGCCCTTTGTTGGTACTGCCAACAGTTTCGGTAAGAGACGATACCGATTGTGTTCCAGCAAGAATTCGTTTGAGCACCCCTATTTCAGACCAACTTGAAATGGATCTAGTCAATTTTATGAAGCATTTAGCCACTAAGTCAAAGTGAAGTAGAGTCTTATTTACCAATGGATTCTTCTCTCCAGCTTGTTCTAATCTGATTGCGAACGCACACCTTTCATATCGTGGGGAAAAAATTTTGTATGAAGAACAAGTCACAAATCACTATTGGTCTACTGTGTGACTTTACTTGTATTTTTAAATTTAAAAAACAAATCTTTTCGTAAAACCATCGATCTGAAATGGCCACTGTATAAATAATCTTCATCTTTTACGTTCAAATGTAAGGGATACATTTGAGCCCATTTTCTGGGTGAGCTTACGGTGCAAATGTCTCCTTCAATACGTAATAAAAGGAATGAGTGTAAAATAAATGAAAATACCTTGAGACCGATGGAAGCGACCCATGAAATGACTCGATCATTAGACCAAACGAGAATATCAGTGACATTATTTTCTGCGGCTCTTCGCCTTTGCTCAAGCTGCCTTCTATCGTAGTTCAATCGTTTCAAACATGATATGCCAAATTGTAAACTTGTCCTGATGGGAAAACAGAATAATATATTATTTAAACAATACAAAATAAAACTGTTGTTTGATCTTGATATTTCTTGCCTGAACTTGTTTTATTAGACTACTATTGAAATGAAAAATGAACAGAAAAGGCACACAATTTCACTTACTTAAATGAATTTAGAAACAGGAGATAGAATCAAATTTAGGTTTTAAAAGAGAAATAAACATTCTCACAAAGGTGATTTAAAGATAAATTAAAGTCTATTGAATTATTTTATTTTTACCCCTCATCATTTTCAGAAAATACAAGAAATAAAGAAAAAGAACATTAAAGGAATACATACACAATAACATGAACATAATGCAGATTGTAAATGTATGTAGGTCTGAAGATGTTTCTGAACTGGAGAAAAAAAGAAAAATGTTAAATCGTTTACATACCTATGAAAACTATCCACCATTTTGAGTTGAGTGCGCAAATCTTTTTTGGTAAGGTGATCTAGCATTCTAGCGTCCACTAAACATTCCATGAATGTCGATCGATATTGAGGTAAGCCTAAGCTAGGTAACCACGCGTTGCCAATCCATTCATGATTCATATCACCAAACGCTAAGGTTGTGCGGGAAGTTTTTGGAGCAGACGGGCTTGTTAATGACACCATTTCTTGAATTGCGAGTCGTAATTTCAGCCGATGAAGTGGATTACTGCAGAAAGTAAATGTCAAAGAAAAATTACACGATGTATCAAGGCACAAAAACATTGATTTTATTTTGGCTAAATTCAAGAGATAATTGTAATTTTAGTATGAGTTCCTTCAGTAACTTTTAGGCCTTTGCAAATAATGAACTTTGCATACAAAATTAATAAAAAAAGCAAATAATACAGCTAGTTTAAAATCCTTATCAGTTTTTTTCATATTGCTGATTTTCCCATGTAAAATTTGTACACTACTTCTTTAAACGGACATGGCATGGTAAAACCAGTATTTTTCGGGTAGCGGGCCTAATTTTTCTCAATGGGGTCAATTATTTGCACACCACTAGAGGGAAAGCCATCTAGTCATGGTCATTTATTTTGTTCACACGTTTCCTTTTCTTGGTGACTTAATATAATGGAATTGTAAAATTTTTCTGAAATAGTAAAAGGTTCTGAGCCGAGAAAATGCAAAATTTTAGGGGAAATACATTTGCGAGCTGCATCCATAATTAAACGTGCTGAACCATCCAATGGGTCATCTGAACTGTTAATGGAATTAGCTTAAAACAAAGATTAAAATTCCTCCTTCGAATAATCTTGAATTATTCTCACTCACCTTATTCCTATTTCTCTTTGGATTTCTGTATCACTTAAAGCACTCATAATGGCTCCAGATTTGACATTTGCCCGACATGCGGCAACATACCAAGCGGGCATTCCAACCCACAATTCTAACCAGGCAACAATTGTGGGCCCGTTCCAAAGAGCAAAAGGTGTTCCTGCTTTCATTGCTTCTGCTAGAAGTTCATGTCTCACATCATAGCTGTTGAAAATAAAACAAATTAAAAATCAGTAACACTGTGGTTTCAATCTCAATTTATGTAAAAATCATGTCTCAAAACTATTAATTTTAACAAGTCAAGGTCATCTTTCGATTTTAAGAATAATCTGTGCAGTTACATAATGGACCATGAAACAAAGTAAGAATCTACCTTCAAAATTATTTGTTCATTATGTTAATTCCTCAACAGGATTTCCAAATAACGTTTTCTGATTGGCTAATTCATCCACTGATCGGAAAAAAGATGGCGCTGTACTAACAAAGATGATGCCATGTGAAAACTATGATAATTTAGAAAAAAATTGATCAGAAATGCCATGATAGCGTCATCGACAGATTCCTCCATTCCATCATCTTGGCTTTTTCAATGACCGTTTCTGCTTGGCTAATTCACGCCGTACACATCAAAATTGGCTCAGCCTTTTTTGAAATAGTAAGATAATTTGTAAATGTAATTTTTGTATTAGTGTAAATATTGATTTATTTACATTTATTTATTTAATGGATAGTTTATGGATAATTATCACAAAACTTACTTCTTTTTCCGTCGGTCAAAATCACTCTTTTGACCCAAAGTTCCTGATGTGCTCATGGAATCAGGAGTCATGAGATCGCCTTCCCCGAATGAAGAAGACATAATACTGTTGGTGCTGAGCCCATCTTTCCCTTTCACCTTAAACAGAACCAAATCAATAGCTCATGAGAATCCATGGTCAGCGCCTCAAAGAAGGAGATAATAATCACACCTGCTCATTTTCGTTTTTATTTTTCTAAATCAAACTAATTAGGAATTTAAAATGATATTCAAAAGTTCTGAAGGAGCTGTTTGTAGCTGAGAAAAATACTTGAGACGTTTAATGAAATAGCTATTGACTGCTTTCTTTGTTTTGGGTCGGAGTCATCCTCTTTGAGCTAAGCCCAATCTGAACTGATGACGCTAAGCCATCAGTCGACTTCTATGTTCACAATATTTAACAAATTTAACAATAGACTGATTTCTTGTCAATGTTTATGGGAGTAGTGTTACGGACTCAAAATTTATTTTGTGCAGTAATTCATTGATTTGGTAAAATATCTTCTTTATTATTGTATGGTTGGGCATTAACTAATCTTAACTTCACCAGTTTTTAGCTCATTTTGCAATGTTTGTGATGTTAAAAGCAAAAAATCATCAATATAAAAAATTAGTAACTACATATAACTACATAATCTTTCTGTTTCTCAAGGAACATTTTAGAAATATTTGATATTTCAATGATGGACCTCAGAAAATAAGTTTAGAATTATTTTTAAAAGTTAAAAGTTACTGATTTCTGCATTCTTAAATACTAATTCTGGATGTGTCAGGACCAAATTAAAATGGGTTAACTTTATGATGATTTTTTTTTCCAATTTCACCATGTAACGCTGTTTGCTGGTTTTTACTTCCATTTTAATTTCTTTTTTATTTTTAATTTTAGCAGTTGATAATGGTGCCGTAAGGTAGCAAAACGTCCTGCCTTTGTATTTTGTATTTTAGCCTTGTTTCCGTATTTTCCTGTGTTTTTGATTGTCGTTTCCGTTTCGGACTGCTTTTACATTCTCTTTGTTTTCCACTATATGATGAATTGAAGATGAATAGATTCAGTCTCAGATACATTAAATTCCATTCCTCTTGAATTGAAAGTTAGGGGGGGGGGGACTTTACTAGCGTTTATGAACTGTTAAGAGGTCTAAAAAGATAAAAAAAAAGTATGATCTACCTTTTCTTTCTTGCTGAAGAATCGACCCAACGATGTTTTGATGCCTTTCTTCTTTTGAGCTGCTGCGACTGCTGCTTGCTGTGCGGCAGAGACTGAGGCAAGTGCGGATGCTTTATGCAGTGAATCTTGACTACTATGTCTTGAGGAAACGGGTGATGGAGGCGTAGAAAAACCAGGAATCCTGCTGTGAAGCAAAGAGATCCAATCGTAAGTCAAAAGAGTCAAAACCAATGTTTATTGGATAACGACAGACTGATTGTGAGTGATGAAGTCAAGAATTTCAAACAAAAAACCTTCTCTATTTTAGTTCTGACAAGCGATAGGACTAATAAAATGATGTTTGCTGCTGTGTATTGTATTTTCTGATGACGCGAAAAAAATTAAGTTCACAAAACTAAATCATTTCCTCAAAAAAATACATTGACAATATTGCATTGAATCAGAGACAATGAATGTCCAACAAACCAATGGATGTTTTTAATTTATGAGACATTTTATTGCTCATTTGTAGATATCAATAGCTTAAATTCGGAATTCTATTTTAATTGAATTTTCCTGTCTAGAAAGTTACGCCTCATCCAGCTATTAAAAGTTTCAAATGCCCTCAGATTTGAGACAGGTTAAAAAGGTGACAGAGGTACACTAACAGCAAAAGTAAAAGGTAACAGAGGTATATTAACAGCAGAACTATTGAAATCGTTCTTGATTGTAGCGTTTCACAATTTCTGCTGGTACTTTAATTTTTCAAAAGAAAACAGACAAACATTGTGGCATGATATTTTTGGAGAGACTTTTCAAAAGATCAAAAAAAAATCACATGAACACAATTTTACAAAATTGAAACAGTTAGTTTTCCCAACGCTAGCATTAAATAGGACGAGAAGTTTGCGATGTTCAGACTGAGATGCTTGTCTTTATAATTTCGTAATTGGTTGAGTACTTACTTCATTGAAACTTGATTATAAGAAGGATTTGATGATGGATGGGGTAAAGTGCTGAGACCTTGCTGCCTTCTGAAACACAGGAGCAAACATTCTCTTTCTTAAATTAAGGAGAAGAATATGAGGACTTTAGAGAGCATCTGCAGGCTGATTATTTACTTTCATAGATCTCGGCTATAGATCTGCAAATCTCATCTATCGCGCATCTATGATCAAACTATTGAATCGCTCGGAATTTCTGTCTCATAGATCCGCAGCCCGCATCTATCAAGGTCAATAGATGAGGGAAGTAAATAATCAGCCTGCTGAGGGGGTTCTAAAAAAACTGTTGCTCACATTTACTAAAATACCATCGAGACAAAAACTGATGCTTGATGCTCACAACTCAAAGAATCTCTTGGTATTTTCCCACTGAAATTTTTTAAAAATTTGTTTAATATAATATAATAATTAATAATAAGAATATAAATAATTTTTTTTAATATTTCTTGGGTGAAAAAAATAAAAAAAAACTTTGATGTGAAAAATTATTGTGAATCTCTGAAAATCTGACTGAGTCATGACTCTTTAGGGTGTTCCGTTTTTAGACAACCATCTCAAAACCTTGCTCCCCAGGCTTTTTCCCATTTCTTTTGGTCCCCAAAAGATAATTCTGAAGTTTCAGCACCATAGCTGAAGTCTACACTTTCCCCCAAAGCGATGCAAATTTTGGAAGAAATTACATTGGTTTAAATGGGGAGAAAATAGGCAAAGTCCCGGAACTACGTTTTTCGGTTGTAAAATGCGCCGAAATGATTTTAGACCTGACCATCTCTTGGAAAGTGATCCAGAGGCCTATTTTGAACGAGAAAATTCCACTTTTGACCCAAAGAGGGGGGAGGGGGGGTCAGGGCGCAGTTAGTTTTGAGGCGCTGCGCGCAGCAAAATGCTCGCATTTAACAGGTTTTGATCAACCTCAGAACAGGTCCTCCGAAGCTGAGGAGGCTAATGTATCTCATAAATTGTAATAAAATAATGTAAAAGAGTTGTTTTCATCCCTTCAGAACTATTTTCGACCATTTACACTGTTGCCAAATTTACTCGAACCTGGAAGGGAATTAGTGTATATCATCTTCTTCACTTGAGTAAATTTGGCAACAGTGTAAATGGTCGAAAATAGTTCTGAAGGGATGAAAACAACTCTTTTACATTATTTTATTACAATTTATGAGATACATTAGCCTCCTCAGCTTCGGAGGACCTGTTCTGAGGTTGATCAAAACCTGTTAAATGCGAGCATTTTGCTGCGCGCAGCGCCTCAAAACTAACTGCGCCCTGACCCCCCCTCCCCCCTCTTTGGGTCAAAAGTGGAATTTTCTCGTTCAAAATAGGCCTCTGGATCACTTTCCAAGAGATGGTCAGGTCTAAAATCATTTCGGCGCATTTTACAACCGAAAAACGTAGTTCCGGGAATTTGCCTATTTTCTCCCCATTTAAACCAATGTAATTTCTTCCAAAATTTGCATCGCTTTGGGGGAAAGTGTAGACTTCAGCTATGGTGCTGAAACTTCAGAATTATCTTTTGGGGACCAAAAGGAATGGGAAAAAGCCTGGGGAGCAAGGATTTGAGATGGTTGTCTAAAAACGGAACACCCTAATGACTCTTATTAATCCAAATTTAATGACAAAAAAAGACTAACCTCCTTAGGTCCTCTGTGCTATGAGCTAGTGCTAGACGCAGAGCTCGGTTGGTCAGTGGACTTGCTTCACCGCTACTTCCTTCTGCATAAGGCAAATCTTCTTCATCTCCTAACTGCAACTGCAAAAAACAAAGCTCATAGAAGAATCATGCAAGGTAAGGAGACAATGAATAATGCAAAATTCCGGACATTAGTACCTTAATAAAATACAGGAAGTTCGAATCAAAGCATTTGTGAACGCACTATTTCCATCTTTGCAATTTCTATGTCGAATTAGAAATGACTCTAAATTTCATGGAGAGAAAACCAATTCAACCGAGAAGGAAAAATTGAGAAGTACAAATGGAACTGTCAACTTTTTTGAGAGAGAATCAAGGTGTGGTTACGAATTATGCTTAAGAAAAGGGGAAATTAAAAAACAGTAAAAGCCAGGCAATTGGTGTTGTACAAAAATACAGTCATGAGAGAAAATTTTCCAAAATTTGAGCATAAAAATCTTATAAAATCCTGATGATTCTTTTATTTGACAATACATTCCACATCATAAATCACCACAAAAATGACAGTACAGGTGTTGCAAATGCTTCAGACCGGTTTCTGAAAAAACCAGATTGCTTTCTTCGTTGAAAATCCTGGATAAAATATTGCAAAATTTTCACTTACTTCAATATTCACAAAAAAAAAAGACTTGAAAAATTTGGTATGAATCAGACAAATATGACTTAGCTAATTTCAAAAGCAGACTAAGAATCTGTATGACTTACTCCTGTTTTCCCCTAATTTGCGGACACACCCCATGGAATTCTATTTAGAAATTCAAAAGTAATAAGATTATAAAACTTGGTCAACTTGGAAAGAAAAAAAAATATCCATGCTTGGAAAATTTGCTGTTTTTTGAAGACCTATTGGGATCCTAGAAAACTGAGTGGGGGATAAGATTGCACACAGACTAATGGGTGAATCTGGCAAATAATAGGATCTAGCAGAAAAATGAGTCATCATAACCTTGATTTTTTATAGATTTCTCATTGATCTGAATTTAACAGCAGTGGCGTAAATATAAATTGTTGAAAATACTTAAGCACTTAACAAAACAAGGTAACACAAGAAAAATGTTATCAAATCTTTGTAAAAGGACCTCATCTTGTGCAAGAAAATATTCCTTAACTTTTAGGAAAAACTTAAACCACGTTTTTCACAACCTGAAAAGTTTGGTCTTGGAACTTCAGTACTAATACACTACTATCAAACTTGCGCCAAAGTTTCCAGACTTTCTTATTCCATGCATTTACAAAAAGTCAGGAAAAATCTTCTATCAGAAAATAAAGGCCTTTTTCACAGATCCGGTGGCAAATTATGATGGCACTAGATACATTAAATTAATCTTAAAATAAGCCACTTCACAAACATCCTAAAATTAACTAATTAAATAATTACCGTGAGGAGTGTTCACACTATTACAATGAATTCACATTGTGCAACTACTTTAATGATGACTATCAGATGCACAATGGTGATTATATTAAGCCAATGGGGATAAAAGTGGATAATATTATTTACAAAAGGTTGATAATGAAAAAAATGATTGTGTCAAGGGAACTGGATAACCCCAGACAGCAACAAATAAAGGGAGAAAAAGCAAGTAATGATGTACGGAAAACAATTTTTTCAATTAAAAAATAATATACTTTAGAAATTAATTTTTTTCGTGAAGGACAAAATTATAACGATATTATTGTTTTACCAAGCTACTTGAGCTTTTAATATGAGCACAGTTTAAGAACTCTCCGATCAGTAAAAGCAATGAGCCACAATTGATTCTTCCAGCTGCAAGGCTAAGCAAAGCAATACATTTTATATCCAGCATTTAAAAAAAAGAAGCTTGCTATGGTGGACAAATACAAGCAGAGCAGGAAGCAACACAGGGTGATTTCAAAGACAAAGGCAAACGGACAATGGACATATGGTAACGGACGGCAGAAGGAAGCTGACCTGGCTAGCAGGCAGTGATTCTGACATTTGTCCGGGACTGGCCAAGGACGCAGCGAATTGGTGAAGATGGGCTGGTGACATTGATGCAGGAGCCTGTATATATTATAAGGACTTTCTTACTTTCAATTCTTTAAAACCGATATTTCATCAAGTGCGTAAAAATTAAGGGATATAAGAAGGAGGGAGTTACAGACAAGAGATCCAAAATCAATCAACAAACATTAAACAAAAATTTTAGCCTTTTATTGGCTTCATTGACGAGGGAAGAGTCAATGATGTTTTTCATTGGCATTCAAAAATCCAGGTGCCCATTAGTTTATTAGCTGAATTTTTAGTCGGTCCTACTCTTTTAATGATCCTCATTATGATTATGTGTGTTCTGATATTTCAAATGAAGATGCAAGCCTTAAAAAGTACCTTTAATGACTCTACCTAAAACTCCTAAATTTTTACAGATTGACACAATTTTAAAAATAATATCTTGCAGCTAATACTTTTAGTTTATCAACGAGCTATAAGAACAAGAAATTCGGTTTGCTATAATCTTGGTAAGCATTTTGTAACTCAATTTCCCTTGCATGGAACTTGTGACTTTACTTAATTATTCCTTAACTGATTGTAAAACTGGAAGTAAAGGCTAAGTTTTACTTTTTACCATTAGTTTCTGCCTATAATAATTTAATCCTCTAGGGCATAATGTTATTTATTTGTAACAACACTTTTTACTTTCTCGCTCCCCTAGGGTAGAGAGGAAGTATTTTTTTGCTTTTATAAAAATTTAACTCCTATTCTGTGACAGAATGTTGCAAATTTTTATGAATTTCTTCTCCTTTTGAAAAGTTTATTATCAAAATTTTGAAATTTTGTGGAAAAATTTTGGACTCAATATTTTCATGAAAGCTACAGCAAGGATTTTGGTCGCCCAGAATCCAACACCGGAAATTAGTTTATGCCATGGAGGGTTAAGATGTACAGGGCCATTAAACTTACAGTTTGAACAACTCTGATACTTTCACAAAAACAGAAGCGATTCACTATCTCTTCAGTTTATTTTTTTTCCACTTCAAATTAAACGGTTGCTTTTCTCTGGTTACTCTTACTCAATCATCTCTCCATTACAACCAGAAATATATTTTGCCAATAGTTTCATGAAGTAGGATAGCACAGTAAGTGAATGTAGTAGAATTTTGATGGGGCAACCGTCCAATGATTAGAATTGCGATCAGGGGATTGGTAATCTTTTTTCTTGTACAGCTCTAAAAGCTAGGAGAAATTACATTCATAACACAATAAATCATTAGTTAATGTACGCCACCCGAATAAACAGATTTATGCAGCAGCCGCTTGCAGCAAAAAGTAGATTAAATAAAACAAGAGCAGCACAAATTAACCTTTCTTCTAAATATTTATAAGAAGAGAAGAGCCAAAAAAAATATTTAATCGAAAGAAAAAGTAAAACACCTTTTAGCAGAGGAACTACCTCTTCCCCTTCTTCCTTGTAAATTGTGCAAGGTCTTAAAGAAATGGCCAAACTCATGGAAATTTGAATTACTTATCTAGAAAAACTAAACACCCACCTACATTCTACGCTAAACTATTGCTATAGACTGGTTTAAGAGGGGAGAAGAAAGTTACATAGCTACTCTTGATAACAAATTCTAGTTTCATAAGCTAATTGTCCACTAAAGTTTCTAGAATGAGACAACGAAAAAAAACAGACCCTGTAGAATCAATTATAAGATAATTATACAGCAACAGATTTTTTCTCTAACATATATTTTTGATGATAACCCATCCTAAAGATATAATTTAGTTTGGGCTTCATCAGTGGAAGGATCCATTCACATCTACCAATAATTCTATTACATTTTAAAACGCAGAGGTATAATGTATTATGAAGGACTGAAACAATGCTTTGTCGCAAAGCAGCAGCAGTTTTTTTACATGCATAAATTATTTTAAGAGGAGGGAGAGGAATTTATAGACAAGAATCTGAATAATGATAACGTCAGATTCATTTGAAACAATGAGAGAATAATTTCAGAATTTCTGAGAGATTTTGACCAATCATGAGCGCTGGCCATTACTTATTGCACGGATAAAATGACAAGGCTCACGCATGAAAAACAGTGCGACGATTTTCAAATCGACCAACATTTTTAGTAAACTAAAGATGTGTAACCGAGTAATGCATGACACTTTTTTGTGGCATCACTGATCCAACTTCAATTCCTCTCTATTGCCAAACTATGTGCGCCCAAATCAGTGACTTCATTTTCCATTGATTGAAAAGTAGAAAAAGAAAACTGTTAAAACTTACGGTGTGATATTTGTGAAGGTAGTCTCGATGAGGGGAGTGGTGTGAGCGTGGAGTGGAGTGCCCGCTTACTGGAGGTGACTGTCTTTCTAAACTCCGACCTCGCGACAGTAGATTCATGTGCTCTAAGCTGCCGACCCTTGATTCTAGCTCTTCTGCCCGAGCTTCCGTATTTTGCTTCTCTTCTTGAATAAGCCTGAAACAAGTCGTTTTCAACACTGAAGAAAGTCGTTCTCAACACTAAAAAAAGTCGTTTTCAACCAGTGTTCGAAACTCACAGGCGCCAACGGGCCAAATGCTCCTAAGTAATCGGCCAAGGTGCCTAAAAAATGAAGGCTCTGCGCCAACGTGGCCCCTAAAAGTTGCCCCCTATCCCCCCAGAAAAAAGAATCCTAAGTTTTCTGTTTGGTGATTTTTCGAAATTTCTCCCAAGTTACAGCTACTTGTTCCGTAACTAAAACATCTTGCGTCTAACTTTTCACTGAATGCGCCGTGATGTATAGGCAAAAAGTCAATTTGGCCCCTAAAAAATCTTCATTGGCCCCTAAAAATCAAGCTTGATGAGCCGCATGGTTCCTGAAACTCAAAGATGAGTTTTGAACACTGTTTTCGACTTTGATCAGATCTAGAGTGAACGAAGGGAAAAATGAGCTGTCCTTCATAGGGAAAATAAGTTTTGTTGCGAGTAAAAGGTCAGTCGCATAAGCTACAGAATCTTGTTTAGATGGTTTAAGTTTAATAGTTAAGACAAAATAATAAGATCTATCTAAACACCAATTTTCCATGTCCAATATTGATAACGATATCACTCTTCAAAAAACTCAAGTTTGACTTCATACACTGCGGTAATGCATACCCTGGTTCTTTCCACATTGGTTTCATCCATGTTTAAAAGCGAGCAATCAGAGCAAAGGTGCACCACAAATTTAGGATTTAAAGATGGAAAAAGCCATGATAAGTACTGCCATGAAGGATAACACCATGAACTGTGTTTTTTAAAGGGAAAGATCTCGTAGAAACTGGGTGTTCAGACAGATCGCATTGGTTTTTACTTATCTATAAGCTTAAACTATCAAAACGCAATTCTGTGATTAGTCCAACTGACTGTTTCTAGCAAAAAAAAAGTACTATACTCATAGAACAGTTTAGACCAGAATTAATAATAGATGAAAAACTACAAAAGTCACTTTTCTTTACCTCAAGCGCTTGCAGCCTGCACCCTAATTTGTGTTTACTGAGAAAAAAAAACTCATAAAATAATCAATTACAGAAAAAAAGTTCTGTACATAATCTGCGCCAAAATTTTTAGTTGTGTAAAATTGAGAAATCTTCATAAGTAATCTGTTCACAACTACAGTACATATTACGCAATTCATCAGCTCTGTCCAAAACCAAAGTTACTTACTTAATACATATTTAAATTAAATATTTAATGATTAAATGGTTTGAAAATATACAAAAGATTCAGCTCACCTAATTTCATTATTGATAGCGTCCAACTGCTCCTGTAACATCAGAGCCAAAGTGTGGGCATCTGTGTGACCAGAGGGTGACAGAACGTCCGTTGCAGAAAGTAAACTCTCATTATCACCTTCACTCACAAGTTCCCATTCCTGAAAAGTGATAAATAATTTTTAATTTCTACATTGGACAGAAGAAGCATACATCTTGAAAACATGGGTACCAGATCGCACAAGGACTAAACTGTGACACAACAATTATCACAATTTTGTCTTGACAAGTGGGTTATTTTGAAATTCGTCTGTTTCATAACGACTGCGACTGGATTTAAAAACTGATTGCCTTTTCTGGACTGTTTGTTCCAGACTGTTTGGACTGATTGACTCAAATTGCATTTTCAGGATTTTTGACAAAAAAAGTTGGTATTTTCCAAAAAAGCATATAACTTGATGTAGAACCTTTAAAAAAATAAACAATTTTCAAATAGAATCGATACTTGGACCCTGTTAAGCAGAAAGGAACCAAGCCACATCAGCAATTGCCAAAGTCAATTGGGCAATTTAATTTTTTACATGAAAATAGTTGTGCAGATTTTTGGGCAAATTTCAGTGAATTTTCTGCATAGCAGAAAGCAAATTCCTAAAAAAATTTCAAAGGAATCCGCACAAACGTTTTCTTGCAAAAAATTGAATTGCTCAGTTAAATTTGGCAATAGCTAATGTGGCTTGGTTCTCATCTGCTTGTGGCCGTTTACTTGAGGGTATAAAGAAAAATCCCACACTGTTCCTAGCAAAAATAGTCAGAAATCGCATTTTGAAATAATGTGAAGGAGGTCGCAAAAGTTTAGAAACCGCTCACCAGTCGGACAATTTCCGATATAAATTCAGCTGTTCCAATAAGGAACATTCATTTCCAGTTCTCTTAAGCTAGTCATAAAGAGAAAACAAACAATGAACGTTGTCAAGACTTCAATTAAAAGCATTTTTTGCCATCGTGGTTTCAAATAGGAGTTCCTGCAAGAACTCAGCTTAAAGTCCAACTTCTTGCGGCCAAAATGTTTAATAAGAAGACAAAAATAAAATGAGAGGAGCCACAAACCTTAGGCGTGTGTTCATTAAGCGTGATATTGTGAGTGCGTCGGGGCAGTGAATGAGCATCAAAACTGGAATGCTGACTTGCACTTCTCACAAAACTACTCGGATCACCTGTGGAAGGTGAAAGACTCCTGGAAAAAGAAGCAAAAAACTTATCAAAAGAGAGCTAAGTTATCTTTATTGCCTAGTTAAAATTTGATTATCATCTGCAGGGCTTTCTACGCATATTCATTGGAAGAACCCACTATTTTAACTTCAAGTTATTGGCTACCGATTAGGATCAGAAATTGTATTGCATGTTTTACATACTTCATTGCCTTATCTTCATCACCTTACAGTTAGGGCCATAGTTACAGGTGGCTGCACTCCACCCCTCCTTTTCCTCTTTTCATTTCTTTCTTGTTGACCAAATTTTTTTTTTAACAAATAAAACTCATGATCAGTCATTATAAGGAAATACATGGAATAAGCGGAAGTGTGAGCCCTGGATTTACGTATAGGTGTACTGAGGCATCCCCCCTCACCATTTCGGATCGTTAAGCTTACAAGCCTACTTATAGCCTCACTTAAAATGCTGAAATATTGGCAGGACATTATAATATTAAAACAAAAAAAAAATCCCAATCATAGTAAGCAAGGACTGATTATTGGACTGGAAAATTGACAGAAAAGGACTTACCGCGTCAGGGCATCAGTTTGCTCAATATTATAAGCTATTTCTTGCTGCAGCATTTGCCTCTTGACACTATCAATTTCTTGCCGTGCTTTCTGCAGCTCTTTCAAAAGCTCAGACTGAAAACAAAACAAAAAAACTTATAAGATTGACTGTAGTAGTAAAACTAATAGATATTATTCAAATATTTTCAATTTGAAGCTCCTTCGGATGTTACTTTAATAATGACACATTAGCAGCTGGCAAATTTTTGCATAAGTTCCCATTAAGCCAAGAAATAATGCTAAAAAACAGCGAACTGTATTAGACATAAACTACTATTACTGAAGGTCTTCATGGCGCTAATGCCACCCTTTGGGTGTGTAAAAAATGTATAATTTACGAGTAGTAGAAAATTGTTTTAATATAAACCCATTAATGAACAGACTCGGTACGGTAAACACTGAAACAAAATTCTCACGTATCACAGTTTTCAAATTAGACTAAATTGCATCGATTTTTTCAAGTCGACCCTAGCCTATGGGCAAGGAAGCTCATCTGAGGATGTGGGTGAAAAACTAGCACAAGTGGCGAAAAGGTACTTTCAAATTAACGGTTGACTTCTTTCTGTACATAACTATGCAGGGTCATATAAAAGTCCCGCACCATCAGCACTGGGAATCACTCCTGTAACTTTTGAGAAAATCAAGATAGAGACTTAAGTTTGTGAGCGCTCTTATGTCAAAGAAAACAATTTTTGGGACCGCCCCAAAATTTTAAAGGTACCATCCCAAAAAGGCGCAAGAAACCTAGGAGTTTAGGAGTGGTGCGGGACTGATGGAGCACCCTTTTGGATGTTTTCTCAGGACAGGCCAGCGGGCCGATTACTGAAATTTTGTGTTTGTCAGGCGAACATAGATGATATAGGTTAAAAGGCGGAGCGTGATTGGTCGGCTATGTCTTATCGCTGCTTTGTCGTGCCTATGTCGGGTTGAACTCACGACAAGCTATCGGTACCTCTTAAGTTTCCGACAGTATGTCGTCCATTCCACCTGACAAGGGCACGACAAAGCAGCGATAAGACATAGCCGACCAATCATGCCTCGCCATTTAACCCATGTCATCTATGTCCGCCCGACAAACACTAAATTTCAATAATCGGTCCGCAGGGGACTGATTAATGGATTTGATGGACAAAGCGATAGACAAAGAAGACATAGAGAGAACTGAGCGATCCTATTGGTTGAGACGGGTGCTTCTTATAGACTTAGGGGGGTAATGACCGACTAACTGTCGGATCTTTCGTAGGCTGCCATTATTTAGTCTATTACTTGCCTCCTTTGTCCGATACAACCACCCATTTTAACCAATAGGATAGCTTCATTTTTCTTCTGTCTCCTATGCCCATTGCTTTGTCTATTAATTTCAATAATCAGCCTGCTGGCTTTACGAATGAAATGAAAGAGTTGATATTTCAATAGGCTGGTGTATCTATTTTTAAATTTTATGCTGGGTGTCTCGACAACATTGTCACTGACTCTCATGAGAGCGAATAGATGAAACTGGCGAGAAGTAGGTTACATGAGCTTGAAGGTCATTTTATCAGCTTTCTAATGGGACCTAGTTGAGCTCTGTTGCTTCATAACTCATCTCTTTTGTTCTACTTAAGAATCTTTTCATGCAGAACCTTATGGATTACTAAATAAAAACTATGAATAAGAGAAAAATAATGAAAAAAGAATTACCGTTATGGTTACCTTTTCTACTTTCAATTCTTCTGCTAATTTACGTGCTTTGTCTAGCTCTTGTTGCAGAGCATTCTTTTCCTCTAATGCATGCATTCTCTCTTTGAGATGAACTTGAAGTCTTTCGTTTGATTCTGGAAAACGAAAGAACAGATTAAAAACTTTCTTTAATGCATCAAAAGAGTATACATGTGCAAAAAGCCGAAAACATTTTTAAAAAAATCTTTGAGAGAGAAGCAAAGAATTTAAGGTTCCTGGAAGGGAAGGCGGTTCATACAACGGAAATTTAACACCGCCTATATTTCTTAAGATGATATATAGTGCTTTCCACAATTTTTACAATTCCTGTGTGCGTAAAGTTGGTGTGGTTGTAGGCAACATGAAATCGGCATCTTCTAACAAAGTATCACAAGCGCCATTTGTGCTTGGACCTATGTTGCCAGACAACTCAATACAGTTTCAACTGTTTTTTAAAACTTTTGTATATAAGTTCATGAAAATTTCAGGGATTAATTTTGATAACAAAAGAAATATTACGTAAAATTTTCAAGTTATTCTGTTTAATAGCTTTTGCATAAAAAGTTGGAAAAACTTAAGAAAGGTATCATACTGCCTAAGAACAAATGAAGTATCGATACTTCCGCCAAAATGTGACAAAATGTAAATAAGGGAATGTTTATCCTACATTGTGGCCTATGGATGTATGTTTCCCTTAAGTATGCAGTTGGTATTAATGCAGGCAACCACGGACGCTGAGATTTGTACAGAGAGTATGGAAGGTTAGGGGCCCAACTAGATAGGGAAGAATTGAAACAGAAGTTGAGCCGCAAGCAAGAAGTTGCGTACGTGGGCGCAAGAGTGCACGGCAAGCGGGATTCCTATTCTACTGCGCTGATTGGCCGAGCGAGAGTTGTGGACGGACGCTGTATGAAAAATTGCCTGCGTGGAGGTGGTCCGGCAGCAACATACCCGCTGCCAGTCTCTGGAAAACAATAGAAAATAGTAGTTGCGTACGTTACCAGCAAGCGTGCTGCGAGCGCTTCTGTTTCAATTACTTAGCATTGAGTCGGGCCTCTAACCTTCCATACTCTCTGGGTTGGTATAAAACTGCAGTTGATATAAACTGGCGTGGAGATCCTGTTTGCTTACCATATTTGCTTGCGTCCTTTGTGTACCCTATCATTTCAGCAAAAAAATGAGCTGAAAAAGAGAATTATTGGGGGGAACAGGAAGAGTTATAAAAAACTGAGATGACCAAATTGTACCTGAAAGAAGCTTATCAACTGTTGAAGAGAGTCTTGAATTATGCTCTTCATTCATTTTCAGCCGCTGATTAAGTCTATGAACTTCGGTTGTTTTTTCTTCTAACTGTGCCTCTAATCTTGATATCCTATCCTCAGCCGATCCATGTCTATCTTGTATCTGATGAAAGGGAAAAAAAATTAATTTACAATAGAACAACATAAATTCAGACCAACTAACATCCTGAAGCCACTATTAAATTTGAAGAGTCTATAATATACATTTTTCACTGGATGAAAAGTTCTGTTATACTAGGGTCACGATTTATAAACTGCAACCATCAATATAAAACAAGACCTTTGTAGACTGAGGTGAATCGTTTAGAAGAGCGACATTAGTTGCAAAATCAGATATAGGATTTTTGACAATGGATATTTTTCATAAAATTTTTCATTTTAATTTTTGGGAATTTTCGTCTTGGTACCTGTGTATAATAGCCCTCTTTAACAAAACCCTTTGAAAAACATGCACAATGTAAAATTATGAGGAGCTCATTTATTAAGGTCTCCTTGTTTGTGCACCTAACTCCCTTTGTCAAGACATTTTTTTGTTAATTTTCTGTTTTGCATTTCAGTAAGATCTAGATTTGTTATCGTTCGCTCATTTGTACATTATCAAATTGCGATTTAATGGATCGGTCTTCTGGTCCCTTTAAGGACTTTAAACTTTTTTAATTAACAGATTCTGCGATTTAACAGGTCAATTTGTCAGTCCTGTGAAGTCCGATAAATCAAGGTCTTACTGGAGAATGACAAAGTGCTCAGAAAGTATTTTTTCTTTTTCCGTAATGCTAATTTCAATTTGAAGGTATAGAAAAAATTCTGAGGGTATGAAGTGTTTGCTTTTTTGCTCTTCTTACTAGTAGAGAAAGTACTATTTTTTTACATCCTGCTTTTCAGAAAAATGTAAGAGGTTCCATGGTAATATTACTGATTAGCTACTCGTAATATAACACTCAAGTGGATGTGATAAATATACGAATTTTCATTTCGAGGATACTAGTGAGAAACAAATCAAACTGGTGATAGCATCTTACCACGTTGGATTGAGCTTGACTATGCCCAACGTCTACTTCTGGAATCTTGGCCATTTGAGCAAGTTTCTGCTCGCACAGCTCCAGTTTCTCTTGGATTGCTCTTGTTTTTTCTTCTTGTAACTGAAAAAAAGAAAAGAATTTTTCATTTGGATAGAGCCAGATTAGAGGGGGGAAAAAGTTGTTAAAGGACACAAAGCATCTACGAAGTGAGTTAGTTTTAAATTGTCCATTACTTTACGAACTTTAGTTCTGAAAAATTGAAAATAGAAGGAAAAAAAGTCATTATTGACAACATTCAAGGCTTTCATTTTGCCTGCGCCAAATTAGAGGATAGGAAGAATCGTTAAAGGCCACGAGGCATGTACGAAGTAACTTAATTTTAAATTATCCATTACTTCACAAGCTTTAGTTCTGAAAGATTGAAAATGTAAGGAAAGACAGTCATTATTGACAACAATTGGACGTATTTCTATCAAACGGAACTATGTGCATTATGACATGAGCCCTATCGTGCACATATTCCCATGGGTCTCAGGGCTCATGTCTTAATGCACATAGTTCCGTTTGATAGAAATACGTCCAATTAAAGCTTCCATTTCGCCTGCACAGGCCTTTTTTGACCAAATGACTGACGGCAATGAACTTGAGGTACAATTTTTAAAGCACAATCTCATTTATTGATTTACCAAATCTGATCTCCAAACCTGATCTCAAAAACTTGTTGCTTGGTTAAAAGACAAATATCATTAAGAGGATGAAGTCAAGCTGTTGTCTTACTGCCAACCTTCATTGTAACAAAATGAAATTCCCTCCAGGTAACAGGCGCCTCTAACCTGTGGTTTTAATGTTGGTAGCAATAAAGACCACATCTAATATTATGACTGATTATGAATTGTGATTGGTTCATTTAATTTGTTTCTCTCAATTGAGAACAGTTCTGAATTCGCAAAACAAATTTGATATATTGATGGAAATAACTTGATTTAACGACAGACTTACTTTCAGCTGGGCCTCCTTATGTTGTAGTTCTTGTTCTAATTTGTCATTGAGGTCATGCAAAGAAGTTGATTCTCTCTGAGCATTCAGGTACCTTTTCTCTAGAGTTGCTATCCTTGCTTCCTGTAAAAAAGAAAATTGATACCACAAAACTTTAATACTTCAAAACTTCAAGAAGTTTTCATATCTATTAATGCCATGTTTAACATAGAATAAATTGCTCTAAACTAGGTTAAGGATACCTGTATGCATAGCTGGGAGCCTATGTACTGTTAAAGTAAGGAGAGAAACCCTTGGAAAATGTAACGACTCTTTGAAAAAGGGGTCAAGAAACTTGGAGAAATTTAATAAAAAAAAAAAATTGGCAATTTTAGAAAACCATGCGAAAATTAAGTTGGCTCAGTAGGCTCAGTAAATTCGCCAAGAATGTGATATCCATTTGAGAAGGAAAAAAATTAAATAAAGGTAAGTTGAATATCACTGATTCAACAGCCAGTTGTACTGAGAAAGTTAGGAGAAACTTATGTCAAATCATATAAAAAAACTGATCATAGATTTAGAAATCTGCATAAATGATTGCTCACATAAAACTGGTGGATAAGGCAATTAGCAAATATACTTTTGCAACATACCAAAAAGACAACAAGTTTTTTGAGGGTTGTCATAAAGATCATTGAATAACAAGTATATAAGTAAATAATGGACAACACTCCAATTTGTGTACCATGTGTTCACTAACTACTGCCATAAAAATTGAATCTAGTGGGTATTCCTGGTTTCTAGGGACTAGACAGAGCCACAAAACACTGATAACAGTCTGACCTCACAGTAAATTCAGATAATGAAGAAAAAAATCTTGACAAAGCCTTACTTGATCTTTCTTTTGAGCTAAATTCTCTCTCAAATCCCTTTGGAGATTTGCGTTTGCTTCTTGTGTGCTTATTAACTCTTCTTGTGCTTTTGACAGTCCTTCCTTCAGTTCAGAGATGCGACTAGAAAGTTCAGAAATTTTCCTCTGCCATGTGCTGGCTTCAGAACTCTGTTAGGAAGAAAACGGTCAACAAGTTAGCCGAGGTTCAACATATAGCAAGGACATTATCCGGCATGCAAACTTAATAGATAAATATGGTGAAGAAACATTACACTACGATAGTATTTTAACTATGAAGGGCAAAAGGGTGCTTTCAGACTTTCACCTTCTGTGAGAACTGAATTCCAATTTCTAGTAGATCAAGAGAGACAGGAACGTAAACATCTCACATTATTCAAATACAAAATTCCAAACAGAAAAGCAATGACCAATGTTCAATTTTCTCATATGGTAATTTATCAAATGACCGATTCATGCTGAGAATCATGCGCAGACTTTGACAACCAGATGATCAGGAAAAAACGAAAAATAAAGAGAGAAAATAAAAAGAGGTGGAGACCAAACGATTCTGCAGTAAATTGGGAGGAGGAGGCTTGTATTAATGACTGAAGATAAAGTATCCTATCATTAAAATAAATCTGGGTAGTTCGACGGCCATTTACTTCCGCAAACACATTGTCACATTGTTTGTGCCACTTCGTGGAGAGAAAAAAAGAGGAGCACAGTGGTGGTCCAAGTTACAATGGCAAATCAGTTTGTAATCTTCTTACATTGTTTCTTACTCCTTCTTTATTTCTTGTTTGTGCTACACGGATTTGGAGACTAATTAGCTCCGCTCACTTGTATTTAAAGGTGTTATTCATTTAAGGAGGATAAAAGAATAACCCCAAATCCCAAGTGCTTATCCTGCTCACAAGTCACAAGTGATCAGTCTATCAGATGTAAGCTATTTCTGCTGTGCTCATCTTGGTTGTATTAATTTGCTAGTAGTGAATAGGTAATGCATTGCTGTCTCTTTAATTCATCAAAATAATTAGGAAAGGAAATGCAGAACAGAAAGAGCTATGCACTTTTTAGCTGTAGCACAACTTCAGCAATTTAATCCAAACTGCTAACCAAGACATGCTTTAAATCTGTTCCTCTGTAGTAATTAATGGACACAGTGCAGCAGAATAAATGAAATTATTTAATTCATACCGACTTTAAATGGCAAACTTCAAAGCCAATAATCAAGAGATTTACCTGTTTCTCTACAGTATTTTGATGATCATTTTGATGATCAGGTATTCTATTGACCTCGGATTCAGGTTCAATTACACCATTAGACAATCTCTGTTAAAAGTCATAAAATAAACATCAAACAACACAGAACATCCAACAATACACAAAAAATTCTACTATATTCAATGCATGCCAATTGATTTCCTTGGAATACAATTTTGGAGTAATTTAACAGACAAAAAATGTTGAACTGGTTTGGGTCCTTGACTTCTTCACATCTTTTGACTTTTCGTTCTAAAATTGTGTATTAAAGATTGTTAGAGATTTAATTTAATATACTTGTTTTTATCATTTTCTTACCTCCAATTTTTAAATTTAAAATGAAATTGTTTTAAAAAGAGAGGAAGGTGCACTATGCAACCTTATGTCTGATGGGAAAAACCAGGGTTTCTTAGGAAAAGTCCCTACTCGGGAGAGAGGGGAGGTAACATTTAGGTATTTTAAAAGCAATACCGATTTTTGGGATAATTATTGACTAGATCCAAAAAATCAGGGACAATTCAGCCCCAGTATATTCTGCTTTAGAGAGGGATAGGTGTTGAATTGACATGAGCGTAAAGGGACATACACCATTTTACTGCGCAAGTCTTCAATTAAGACATATAAAAGTATCAATATGAATTTTTGACAGATTATCAAATATTATGGGGACTTTCTGATTCTCTTTTCCTTCTTTGGCAACCACCAATAAACCTCTCCATCTCTATTATTATTTATGAATTAGGTTGCACAGTGAATAATGATACTAAAAATTCTTTCCGCCGTTTCACCCTCCTCTTATCTGAATATTTTCAAACGGTCATGCTTAATACTTGAATAGGGCAAAGAAAATTTGATACAAGTACTATGGTGCTGAGAGTAGAGTAGAAAGAGGGGGAGAGAAATGAAGAGAAAGAGAGGAAGGGGAAACTAAGCATATAGAACACCAAATAGAGGGGCTAAAAAGTAGCTTTCTACTTCATTTAAAGACATTGCATTAGGAGTCATCGACTGACGGTACTTATTGCAGGCAACAGTCCAATCTTACACATTTTTCCAGAGTAAAGTAAAAAAAGAAAGGGGAAGAGAGAGAAAGAACACGAAACAAACTTGCAAAATTCACAGATAGGAAAGCTTTTTACAGCAATTCCAAAATGAAATAGAAGAAAATCATCTTTTTGGAAATCCTAATGTTCTTTTAGGACCAAAATATGAGATTCTAAACGCACAATGGAAAAATAATGATGATTCTAACTGGATTCCACTCAACATTCAATGTTTGCTCACATGAAAATGCTTTCGTCCATAGATTATCAAAAAAAATTTGAGGACAGTATAAATGTTAATTACAGATTCACCTCCCACGAAAAAGCTACAGCCCAACCGAGGAACTTTTGAGTGGTCGTTCGCACTACAGTATTGCAGCATAAAACAGCAAAAAAAATGGCTTGATGCTGACTCAAAGTGTCAATAAAGCGATTGTGATTGCTTACCCGAATGATTCTTTTCAAAAGCTTATAAAACCTCCAATAATGCAAATTGTGGTTTAAAATACTGACTTAATATTTTTAAGAGAATTGGACAGCGTTCAGCAACCAAAATTAAAGTATTTGACTCTGTTTAAGTTTTTCTCTTTACTGAATGATTCTAGTTTCTACCATAAGGGCTCTTTTGCCTGACTCAAATCACATTTTACCTTTCTCCATCAAACTTTTTCTCTTGAATATAGGAGCCTAAAGTATCACCTGACACATTGGTCAGAGAAATAAAGGGGGAATGTTTACAAGAAAATATGCTATCACAATTATAGATAGTTTAATTTTTATGGCTATTAATGCTGAAATTACCTTAATACTACTAATAGGATGCGGGGCATCGGTAACTGATTTATCTTCCGGCATGCCATTTTCTTTCAGCTTGTTTTCCTCACGATCTCCGCTAGCAGGGGCTCTACCTAATTTGTACTGTTGCAACTGTGGAAACAAGAATAAAAAGTGCTTTAATACATACACGTCTTAACCCCATGATGACCAAGGATATATAAAATTGGTCAGAATACATAATCATGTTCCTTGGAATAAACAAGAGCTTTTTTGAGAGTTATTATGATGTCTCTGTTCTACATCTACGACATTTTTTCCTACAAGATAAATGGCATATGGTGTGAATGAGAGCCCTATCCATCGCTGAGATGATGAGAAGTTAAACTCTATTGCGAACCTTGTAATTAACAAGGTGAAGGGTGCAGTATATAGACATATTCTGATCTAATGATGAATTATGAAATATAAGATTAATTTGATTAGATTACTATGTAAAGTCATGTTGCTTGGAATATACATACGATTTTCATAAGTAATTTTGATACCTTTGTTCTAGATCCAATAAATTTTCTTCAACCAGACAAGTGACATATGATTGAAATGAAAGGCTACTGTGAAGATGGATGGCTCTATTGCCGAAAGTTTCTGTGATGTAAACTAATTTCTTGAGTTTTTCCATTTTAAATGGCAAGTTAACATAATTTGATGCGTTTGTACATCTCCACAGAGCTGGACTGTAGCTGCATTAAAGGTTCTTGATGACAGTCCTTTTTTACTCAGTATCAACGTTGATTACTTAATTTTACAATCAATTTTTTTATATTAAAGACCAAATTTTTAAAAGGAAATAGCTTACTTCATCTTTGGTAGTTGAAAGTTCTTCTTCTAAAATGGAATTCCTATCCAAGGCTACTTTCAGTCTTTCTCGAACCTGTAAAAAGGAAAATTAACATTTAGTGCAAAAACTTGACAATCAATGTATGAAGATAGGATAATTCTTTTTGTGGCTCTGAAAAGGAATCCTAAAAAAAATTGAAAAAATATAAAAAAGAAAAAAGTTAACTGAAAGATAGTTTCTTGTTCATAAAAATATTCCTGGGCATTTTTCCAGGAAATTTTTGGAAAATATTTTTTGGGCACGAAAAAAAATTCAAACCAAATATTGTCCAATAAAGAGGATATGTTCGATTGTATTCCACGAATGAACTGATTTTTACGGCTCATGCAATAAACAGCGTACGAGCCATTTGTTCCTCTAAGGAGATGGATGATTTTATAAATGAGAAGGAAATAATTATTCCCTATTTTGCAATGCGATCTGGCTAGTTGTTATTAAAGAAAGAAAAATAGGACACAAAATCTGCAACTTCGCTGACCGAGATACGCGGTTTGATAATTTCACCATTCCTTTACCTGGAAAATGATGAAATGGAAGGATTTTAACTAGAATCAGCCTACCTACATTGAAATTGGCTATAAAGTTTCAACAGAAAACTACGGAGCATTTGGACGTGAAATTTTGCAAGAATATTATCCTTCATAATCGCGAGACAATTAAAAAAAAGTACCGAGGCGTTATCTGTTCTAGTTTTCTGCTGAAAAAGTAAAAAATGAATGAAAATTTGGCAACGGTTAGCTGGTTCTAGCCAAATCCGTCCAGATATCGATGACCGAAGTGCGGAACCACGTACCTCCATTGCAATGTTTCAAAATTTTCGCTATTTTATTTTTTCGAGAAGAAACGAGCAATCCTTACAGCTTGTTTCACAGAATATTTTGCAGTCCGAGAAGAGAAATCAAGGAAGTTTTTAAGAAATTACGTTACGAGTTTTTCGAGGATAAAAAGGATGTATTTATGCTAAAAGGAACTATGTCGAAAAGAACTATGTCACACGCAATCCCTATGCACATAGTTCCTTTTAGCATAAATACGTCCAAATAAAGTATGATAGGAAAGAAGTCTGCAACGTCGCAAACGTAGATACGAGGTTTCGCGGTTCAGTCATTGATGTACTCCGTTTTCTCCTGGGTCACCCTTCAGTGCTGCCGTGCTAAGGAAAAGCGCCTCATGAGCATTCGAATGTTGCCAAATTGCCTCCCAGAAAATAGTAATTTCTGAAGCCAGTTACGCATGTTTTTCCTTAAAATTTTAAGAAACTTTAGATCAAATCACGGACTAAATTCTCCATAAAAATTGGAAGAAAAAAGTGTACAAACATTCCCGAAAATTCGAGATTTCTCGAGGGAGATTTGGCAACGCCTGACTGCTCATACGGCGTTCTTCCCTAGCACGGCAGAGTGCGCCTTACTTTAATCTCTGGGAAAGTAGAAAAAAGAACTGGAGGAGATGACAGAGATCCATCATCGGAGGGGCTGGATTTGCGGGGGAGGATTTGCCGTTCGGGAGGGCAGCATTTGGCTGGCTGACAAAACGACGTAACTAAATTTAGAGATGAGCCCGGGAAAGCATAGATTTACACGGGCTACAGGGCTCAACGCGAGGTGTAGTTACGGTTTCACGTCAGGAGGGCGACGATTTCCAGGCGGTCGCTGGCCGGAGTGGATGAAAAGCAAGGTTGCCAGATTGTGGAATAAAAATCGGATATTTCACATGGCTAATGGGGAAAAGAGCTGAAAAACCGGCACTATCTGGCAACAAATAGGAAAAAAGACGTCGCGAGTCGCGAGGGAGGAGGGTATTAGCACGCGAATCACGTCGCCACCGAACTCTACGCTGCCTGGCTGAGAAAAAAACGCCGTATGAACTTTCGGACGTTGCCAGAATTCCTTCGATAAAAAAACTCTTTTTAGGGGAACTTGTGAAAATTTTCCTTCCAGTTTTCCCGGGAATTTTGTTCCCAATTCGAGCTGAAGTATCAGAATATTTCAGGAGGAAATATTCGTAATATTCCTCAAAAATAAATAATTTGTCGCGCGAAATTTGGCAACATTCATATGTTCATACGACGTTTTTCCTTGGTGAAGTGTCCGCGGACCCACAAGATGCTCCGACATGGAGAGACGCAGGTACCGCATCACACGACATCAAAGTACACACCGGGGCCGCTCGGGGCGCTACGTGTGATTACACGTGCTCTCACTCGCCGAAAAAAATTATGCGTGTTGGTATTCCTTGCTGAATGTTCCTTTGACACCTTCAGCGTTTCGGAAATGTATTCGGCGACTTTGAAGTGGGTACGAACGAATGCACTAGCGACTACTTTACAGCTTTGCGCCAGTGACGAGGCATGAACGATCGAATATCGATATTTCGTCACTTTCCAGGCAAAGTATCACAAGCGCCATGCGACGTTTAAAAATTTCCGCCGCCATTTTATTATTTTACTGAGAAATTGTTGGTTGAATATGTTCGAAAATTTCACTAAATTTTATCGGCAGCACAAAGAAAATTCGGTGTAATTTCCGGACAGCTTCGTTGAACAATTTCTCTGTAAAAAATTATAATGGCGGCGGAAATTTTTAAACGTCGCATGGCGCTTGTGATACTTTGCCTGGAAGGTGACGATTACTCCTTTGGAACCTGTGGAAAAGAATCGATCATTAAGGTGTTCGCTAAAAAAAAAAAAAAAAAAAAAAAAAAAAAAAAGAACCCAGTTTTTTTATTTTTTTCCATAGGCTTAAATCAATCGATGTATTGCACAGCACGCCACGCCACTGCTTTGCTCGTTTGCAAGTTTGAAGCAAAAGATCGACGGGATGACTGCTCTTACAACCTAATGCAGCAGTTGTTCGCCCATCTCCTACTTTCAATTTTTTATTTGTAGCTTACGTTCAAGTTGAGGTTGAGCGTGTAATCGATATAAAACGTCCTGGATGTGTTTTGGTTCTATTCAAACTTTCATACATATTTTTTACTGTATTATCTTGTTTTTTTATTGTTGATTTAAGTTCCTATTTTTTCGTTTCATTCCTTGCCATTTGTTTAGTTTTAATCCTCCTACTGAAATTAATCTTTTGCTAGGTAAAATTCTAGCTAGACCGCACTAAAACTTCGCAGTCACAACTGCAAAAAGGTCAAAGGAAAACCGTCAAGACCAGCGTGGAGGCTACTTCAATTTGAATCTTCCGTCGCATTGGTAAGGCGCAATGATACAACTATTCGTGCTCTCCGGAATGCGGAAGGTATCACGCCAAAATTGAAGGCGTTTTCAAAACTGCCGAGTTTTGATATCGAGATAGTTGTGTCGTGTCACATAAAACTCGGAGCGCAAAAACCATGGAATGACTGATCTCTAATGCAACAGTTGTTCGCCCATCTCCTTGTTTTAGTTTTTTATTTATAGCTTTTGTTCCAGTTAAATGAGTGTGCAATTTGCAGGATACATCCTCGATGTATTTCCGTTCAATTTACGGCATGATGTCGAGAATTCTTCGCCAGGCTTATTCATTGATTTTTCTCTGATTTTTCCTGGATTATCAGGATCTTTCAAAAGTTGTAGTTCCGTAAGAAGAACGATAGCTAAACACACTCTCTCGGAGGGGGGCACCAAAGGGACAAAAAAAAAGACAGAAAAAAGGAAAAATGAGTTTTTTCGTCATTTCCCTGTACCCCCGAGTTTATCCTTGAAGTGGTGACACCCGAGTCCCCCCCCCCNTCCTTTTCGTTTGAAAGTCCCTCTTTTGATTTTTTCTCCCGCCCTTCGGCTGCCGTAAAAAATTACACCTCAGATGCTAAAATTCCACTGCGTATTTGAAAGACATCTGTTTCCCTTTTTTCCCTTTCGTTCCTGACATTTTTCAAGGAGACCGAGCCGTTAAGGCGGGGAGGGGGGGAGGGGGCAGGGAAGGGGAGCGCCTCAGGGTCGGAAGCGGATGAAAAGTACAGGGAGGCGAGGGGTGTGTTCAGGCCAACAACCGTAGTAATTTCCCGCGAAATTGCCACACCGAAGGGGTATACGAAAAATGAAAAAAACCGCGCGGACTTTCACCGAGAAAAGGCTGCCGGACTGCGTGAAAGAAATTCCATAATTTTAACGTTGCGCTATGTGTGGAAAAAAATGCTGATTTTCAGTACAAATTGGCAAAGCAATCTGGGATTACAAAATTCTGATTGTGAGAAGAATCGTCCTTGATTTGGCGTTGTGCGGTTTTGATCTTTGCATTGGATGTCCGCGATAGAACATGAGTAACTTAGTATAATATTCAAGATTCGACATTTCTATTTTCCGTCATTTTCGTGGTTTTTTTGGAAATCTATGCATTCTATCAATTAAAAATTTTACATTCGATCTCAGAGATGCTTTAGGTTGATCGAACAACCCTGCGATATAGCAATGCTGAAGTCTCAGGGAACGTTTTCTTGCTTCTTGAATGGAAATACAGGCTGTGTCGTTAAAATTTCATCTTCATCTTGAAATTTTAATAAAGACTCGGATTTTTCGCGAGCTATTCGATAAAATACTGGTGGAATTTCACGTTTCAAACAGTGCAGTAGGAAATTCTTGCTAAATCTTTTCATCTCGGGCTAGCTCCACGTTTCACCGAACCAACATCAACACGCTTCCAAAAGGAGGAATTACTCCGAACGTGGCAATCCTGGGTTATTAACTTCAACTTCACCCCTTCGCCGGTGAAATACTACCTCAAGTTCACCCACCAAGACACCGTAGGACCACAATACACACCGCGCTGCCGGTTCATCTTAAAAATCACCCCATTTCGTCCTGATCGTAATTAGTGAAACGGCGAAAATCGACAACGTAAAGTGGTCAGGGTGAGGGATGGGGAACGAAACACTCGTTCTCTGGTAGCCTTCTCATAATGCATAGTTGCCAGATTTTGCTGAATGTAGCACTATTCCCTTAGGACTCATTGTAAAAATGTTGATTTTTCGGCATAACGTGGCAACTGTGTTTTAATGGCGCTGCGGGCCGAGGAAGAGAAGTAAATTTTGTGTTTTTTGAACTGAAC